CTATATTATGAAGCTTTATATAGTATGCTGTTAATTGATTGGATCCCAATTTGGTATCCTTTGTTGATGGGGTTGTTATTGTTGAAGACACATGAGAGGTATCAGAGGGAAACTACCAAGGAATGATAGGTCTAAGATTGTTTAGTTCCAATTTCCAATATTCAATTCCTAAGCATTCTTTTATTTTTTGATTGATAATTTTTAGTAATATGGTTGCCAAAGATTTACGCAATAGGAAATAGTAATATTACTTGTTTGCTATGCAAATACTTGTAACCTTGGAGACTAGAGATCTTATCATTCTTTTAATGTAGTTGTTGTGGAGAATCCCACCCTAACTTGTGAAGTATTATTTGTTTTGACTCTAAGATTTCATCATTTCATTTCACAAAAGACGTCTCATAAATTTGGGTTTAAGCCTCTACTTATATATCATAGCCTAACACAAAGCACATAGATCCATCAAATCACATCAAACATTAAGTAAGTTCAACACAAAACACATATAGATTACAGGATCACTTCAGATGTTTGGATTTTTGAGGTGGCTCTTACGGCGTAACACTTAGTTTTTGTCCGACTAATAACCGCTCTGATATCATTTGCAGAAACTCACACATAACCTGCGAGGTATTATCTGCTTTGACCTGAAGATCTTACGATATTGTTTCATAAAAGATATCTCATAAGTTTGAGTTTAAATTTCTACTTATATATAATAGTAAATCCTTTGAATATCCCAATGTAGGTCTGAGGTGTCATAGTTATTTTAAAACATGTTTAGAAAATTGCTTTGGACAATTTGATTCATTTCAACTACGTGAGGTTATGGTTGATGAATTGATGAGTACCAATAGGAAAAAGAACAATTCGAAGGGAAGGCCTATTGCTTCCACTCCTCTAAAACTTTCTTGCAAGCAAAAGCAGCATATTATAATATTTGGTGAGAAAGAAATCTGAGATTTCCTCGTAAAACTTTAAGAAAGCAAAAGGGAAATGAACATTAAAAGAAGGATGGATACAATATTACTGAGACTTTCTTTGGTATTAGTAACAATAAGCATTAGCCTAGCCAAAAGAAAAGAGACTTCTTTTTTTTTTTGAGGACTTAGTGTTCTCTCACTGGATTTTTTTTTTTTTTTCTGAAAAACCAGTCTTTATTTCATGTCCTTGATATAAGGACCAAACATCATAACGGCCAAACCAATTCACATATAAATATATCTATATATATATATATATATATATATATATATCTGCAGACGAGTTTTTCTTGGTTTAAACAAGACAAATATGGTGAAAAGAAATCATGCGTCAGACCAGTATATCTCCATTTCACCACGATCATCTCCATGCACTCCTAAGGCATCCCAAACTGCATCTGAGGCATCAACGATGTTGTTGTCACATGGAGGCTGGTAGTCATGATCATTATCACAACCCATTGTCGAGTCACATTCATCAACTACCTTAGCCTGAACACTCCTTCCGTTACCATAAATGTTAATATAGTTGAAACACCGTTTTCCCTTGTTGTACCATCCTGTTGAAAGTGCCACTATAAGTTCTGTATCTTTGTGATACTGGTTGTCGCATTCACATTGACTACCACCATCCTCACCCGGACCGAATCCATTGAGAGTCAGGGTTGCCTTAGTACGGCTTGAAACTTCTGGCGAACACTTGTAAATGTCATAAAGCTCGCCTTCTTTACAGCAGTCAGAATCATGGGCTGTGTTACATTTATTTGGAGGAGGTTTTTTCCCTCTTATCTTGCCACTGGGGTTGCAGGTGTATGCTTCAACCAGAAAACATTCAATAACAAGGAAAATAAAGCATGTAAGAAGAAAGACGGTGGAAACAACCTTCCCGTTCATCTTCTATTTTTTCGGTTAACTCTTTTACTCGTCACTATTGCTTGGTGCCAGGAACATGAAGAAGTGGGAGGTTCATATAGGAATGAGGCTACCCTGTAATTGCAGATTAAATCAATTTTAAATTTTAGTCTTCCAAGAATTCCTCCATTTTATCGGAAGCATCGTACAAGCAGCACGATGTGCCACAAAAGGTTAAAAGTGCCACATTTTGCACAGCTGGAATTATTACAAGGCTAAATATCAGTCTATCATCATCTGACGAAGCAGACTGTTGGTAAATAAATACTGATGGCCCTGAATCCAACAATTTTGGACCTATATCTTGACATATACAAGCAACAAGGTTGCTACCTTGTTTCTATTTTAGACTTGGAATGTTTTAAGCAGGTGAATTAAATAGAAAGATTAGAATCTGACAAGTATATATTTGCCAAAAGGGAACATTAGTGAATATTGCCAATTACATTTTTTTTTTGGATTTAAATATGAGATAACCAAGGAGACACGTATTTATATATAAAGGGGATGCCGTAAATAAACATGCGATATTGGCCTTTGATCTTGTTGCATATTCATCTGATGGAGACTGCCTGTCTTCATAGAGTTTACCGTCTCCCGTAGTGATTTTTACGGAACAACTATCTCACAAGTCTAGACAAGTAAAAAGGTAATGCAGAATGGTGATTTTCATGCCATGAGATATGATACATATGACGATTGTTACAAACTGACATAGCCTTTATTCTTCTTGCCCTGGAGTAAAAAGTTGAGCATCCAAGTTATGAACTCAAAGATACCAGTTAAAGGAGACTGTTTACATTCTCTGTCCTTGATCCAACAATACAACATTAATGTTTCATATTTCGTCGCATACTCTGTCTTCAAAAAGTTGCAAAGAGAGTCCGATGTAAGTAAGGATTACCTTTAACATGACAATTAACAGGTGATATATACTGTCTCATACCCAAAATTCCACACAGCTTACACCATAATCTGATACAGGAAATACACCTTTATTCTTATACAGACGAAATTTATAATAGGGTGAAAATGATCAATTAGCATCAGACCAGGTAATATCTAGGTCACCTCGCTCGCTTTCAGGCACCACCGAAGCTGTCCAAAGGACCAAACTGCTTTTGAGGCAGCAACAACATTATTGCGGCATGGAGGCTGGTAAGCATGCTCATTATCACATCCCGCCTGAGAGACATTCATCGACTACCTAAGCGGCAAAGCTCTCACACTGTTTCCATTCCTATTGATATGAATAAATTTGTTGCAACGACTGGCTGAACCAACCTGTTGAGAGTGCCACCATAGGTTCATTATCCGAGTGATACTGATTGTCACATTTTGACGGGCCGCCGCCATCTCCACCCTCCAGAAGCTGTTAACAGTCAGGGTAGCTGGTGTATTGGCGGAGACCGGTGGTGAACATTACAACCAATATATTATTTATTTATTTATTATTGAAAAGTATCTCTATGGGATGTTCCTGCAGGTTTGATTAACTTATTTTTTTAGCATCTTATGGCAGCTATTTTTTGATGAAGACTGAATGACTGAGATCGCTGGCTTGGAGACAGAAAACTTCAAATTATGATTATACTAATAGACAACATTAAATTGCCTCGTTCCTTGACGAAGCAGAAACCATGCAAGATTGAAAGAGATAGCCAAAATGTTGCAGTTCTGCCACGCCGATGCCTGATTAGATGGCTTGGACACGGTTATAACTTCTAAGATTCTTTCGGCCTGAAATTCCTTTTACAGGAAAGAACCAAGTGAAAGAGGCAAATATGCCATAAGTATAACCTTGAGATAAACTTTTAAAGCATGGACAATATTGTTTTCAACTGGTTGGAAATTTTTTTTTTCCCGGTTGTTATATAGGCCAATGAAACAAAAAAAAAAAAGTGTGGAATGATTTCAAGCAGTGGCTAACAATGGTAGTTTTCTATGTGTTCCGAACAATGGCGTAGGCTAAGACCAATAGATGTTTCAAGTTGAATCTGGTAAATTAACTAAGAAGAATTAACAGAGAAGTTTATCAAGTACTCTGACAAGTAAGTTGCAGAGAGAATGGTCAGATATGAGCTATTCAAGAACAAAATCAAATTAAGACAACTTTCTGGCCTTTAACCCTTTCAAAAAGAATATCTCTTTTGCCAAAAATAATGTGACAAATGATACAATAAGGTGTCTAGAGTTAAAATTTGTGGTGTGGACTGCATTAAGGGATATCAGAGGTAATAACATCTATGAAGCATATACTGTAATTTTGTAATTATTGAAAAGTCCGTCCGGTTACTGGTCAGACGTCAGATTGGCTATTATGTTGTATTATAATGAACAAAACTTGGTGCATGAAGTTAATGCTTAAAAACCTTCAAGAGTGAAGGAGATGGAAAGACTGCGGTTCTGCTGATCATTTCCTAATCAGTATAAAATGACAACTTGGCTGTAATTAGCAGACTTTTTCGGCATGTCAATTCTTTGCACATAATACAACCGAGTGAATATGCCTGAAGAGCGATTGGCTGGGAGAATTTCTCCCCTGGTTTTTCTAGCTCTATTCTAAGGTTTTATTGTCTCTGTTGGAGGTAGTGATGGTAACGGATCGGATCGAAATAAATTTTTATTCATTTAAAATTCGATTAAATTATATATATATATATATAATTCGATCTGATTCGATTTAACGATTTTTTTAATTTTTATATTCGAAGTTGACTCAATATTTTTTTTAATTTTTTTATATTCGAATTTGATCCGATATTAAATTAAATTCATATTCAACTTAATTCGATTCGAAATTAATAAAATATTATTTTTTAAAATATAAAATATTATTTTTAATATAAATATAAAATTATATAAATATATATAATTAAATAAATAATTTAAAAAATAATTTTATATATATATCAAATCAAATAAAGTTAGATTTATCTAAAATCTTATTCTGACTCGACGTCACCCGATATCTGATTTTTGAAAAAAAAAAAAAATCAAATTGAATCGAGACCACCGAATTCGGTTGAATTCCCTTCGGTAAAATACTTGAAGTTGCAGAGAAATTTTTTAGGTTTTACAATCAGCCCAGCCCACTTGTCCTGAATGCCGGCTTCACTATTGTTCTATGTTGAGCCCAAATCCAAGTTTCCTCCTCAAGTAAGTGATCCAGGTCCATTAGTGTTTGTTTCAACCCATCGAAACGAGCGAGCTTGAAGAAAGAAACTGTATATTTGCAAAAATTCCAAGACTAATCGTTTAGTTGGAGCCATCATTTCCTTCTTTATTCTAAAGAAAATATCATCTGAGCCAACTTTTAGTGGTACCCATTTTCCTGTAACCCAGGTGATTTTCTTCTCCCTCCCCCTTCATTTTCTTGATTGTTTTTTGGGTTTTCCAAGCTTTTGATGTTTGGTCATTTTATATCTCAATTAATTCAGAGTAGAGCCAAGTTGGATCTTATAAAAAGCAAGTTCTTTCAAATTTATTTTCTTCGTTAAAAAGATTCGAAATCAAAATTTTTTTAAAAAAAATTATATTCTTTACCACTCGAACCGAATAATAATGTGTATCATTATGTAAAATACTGCACTCTAATTGCATGGATAGTAGTAATTTCTTGATAGTTGTGAAACTATCACCTTCTGATCCTGCAATTTTGTCCGTACATGTTCAAACTACAGAACAAGTTATGAAATTCTTTGTTACTCGTCAGGTTACAAGAAGAATAACCTGATGCTGATGTGATAAAGTGATAATCACAAGAATCAAATGCCCTATTTTTTTTCCATTAAATTGTCTCATTTTAAATTAATTGATTAAAGAAAGTTCACCTGGAATGTTGTATCCTTTGTCTTCTGAAAATTGAAGTAGTCAAAAGATCACCCAAAAGAATGCAATTAGTTCGAAGGTTAAAATGCTCTTAGTACATCGTTTAACTGTTTTATTCACCAAATCCTCCTAAAGGCCAATGCAACATGGAAGAACGACTCTGATTGTTGTGTTGAAGGTGAGGTTTACATAACCTACAAATGCTCGCCACGAGTGACCAGGCATACCAAGGCAGTTCTAACCCTCTAACAGCTTTGAGAAGGGAGCCGATGGAGTGTGGCCCATCCGAATGTGACAAGAGGTTCCACTTTGATGATCTGAAAATTGTGGCACTGTCAACAGGATGGTTCAACAAAAAGAAGAGATGCTTCCACAATATCACTATATGGGGAAATGGACGCAGCGTGGCAGCCATAGTGGTTGATGAGTGTGATTCCACGATGGGATGTGACGATAAGCATGATTATCAACCTCCTTGTGCTAACAACGTTTTTGATGCCTTTAAGGCTGTCTGGAAAGCCCTCTGAGTGCCCAAGAAATATAGGGGTGACTTGAATATTACTTGGTCTTAAAATCCATTGTTAACTTTAGGGTCAAAAAGCGGCAAAAATGAAAACTCAAGATCTAAAATCCATTGATAACTCTAGGATCGGTAGAAATCGTTAGTGCTAAAATTTTGAACTAACTGTCATCAAGCTACAAATATCAGAACAAATCCCATTGTCTATTGTCATGGGTAAAAGAAGTGAGAATCATGAAGCCAAAATCAGGCTCGCCTCCATTTTGTCCATGGGACTTTCAAATTACAATCAGGTGGGCCTTCAACAGCAAACTATATACATTGCTCATGAGACTATTTGAGGAAAGAGTCATCCGCGCATTAGATCAATGTCAACATGGGTATTACGCAAATCCATTGATCGTGAACCAGGCCAAACACCTGCTGGCGAAGTTGGAGTCAGATTTTGAATTGGAGAGATGCCCAATGGAGCTACTAGATTGTCAACACTCTGATTATCGGAGTCTTTTAGACCTTCTTGACCTCCCCCTTTCTTGTTCTTCGTCTTGGGACCACCCCACAGAAAACTTCCCACAATCACCTGGTTTGTTCATCATTCACTTAAGAGTTACTAGGATTACATATAGAAGGATGATTCCATCAAAGTTAAATTCCATGCTCATGATACATAACTAAATGCCCCAGTAATATAGCCCAATGCATACAGTAAGTTTTAACTGATTTACCCATTGGAATGTATTATGGTGGCTTCCTAACCTTTCAGACACATTGAAGCAAGCAAATTAATTTGTGCTGAAAAAGTAGACAGCTAGGCCGCCACTTATAGTCCTAAATATGTTGAAGCTGCCCAATCTCACTTAACCCTTATATTTAAGGTCACCAGCATGCATAAAAAGCCAGTATTAACCAATAGAAGGTCTAATTAACAGAGATAAATCACCACCAGCAACCAAAGAGTTACCTGAACAGGGCTTGCTGCAATAAGCATCCCTCCAACACCTCCACCAATGACACAGCCATCAGGACTGGCCAGGGAAACACTAAGACCACCAGTTAGATTGCGAGAGCCACTATTGCTGGTCAGCAGGTAAGAGCCTGACAGACATAATATCTCAAATCGCCCCTACAGAAATCAAAGTAGACAAAAAAATATGTTTTTCAACTAAACATATGCATCAAGATAGGAGTTTCAGAATGAAGAGGAAAAAAGAGTTAATATGTCAACTGAAAAACTTGTTAAACAGTTGTAATGAAACTACTGACAATTGTAACAACATTGAACAGCATACACGTGATTTATATGCAATCCAAGTGTGTTTTGTCACATTCACAGGAATAAGCTAGTAACAGGCAAACCTAAATTCCCTCAACATTACTTGGCAAAATAGTCTTAGGTTGCCTAACTGCCATAGAAAAATAAAGAAATTAAGAATCAGTTATTGAGTGCCCAAACCTCATATGTAACAGTGCCACCCGAGGATGATGGCTGACGAAGAGTTACAGTAGAGACAGCCCCATTGGCAGACAAAATACATACAGCTCTTGGCCCTTGCTGTGAAAATGACATTATTTTTGTTGCAATGTCCTACAAATGTTAAATCAAATTCAAGATAAAAGAACTTTCTTCTGGTAACCTGTTGACCACATTTAAACAATTTATACCTCAAAAAATAATGCTTGAAAACAGAATATCTACTTTTGCTAGAGAAACAAAGTCAAGTCTTAAGAAAAACGTAATCCTCTCATGTATCACAAAACTGAAAGAGGTAGTATGCCTCAGAAAATTGAAAATACAAGGACACAAAAGGCAACGCTAATCAACAAGAATGTTTTATTAGATGAAAATGCATGAAGAATAGCAAGGACAACTAGGCCTAACTATTTTCCTCTGTTAATTCCTTATAAATGACAACAAATTATAGTCTAACTCTGAGAAACTTATTTTCAATTTTATAAGAAGAGATAGGGAAACAAAGTAAATTACAGTTCCTAATATTTTTCCTTATATTTTTCTATCAATGTCTTCTACATCTGCATTATCATCATGTTTTAAAATGAACAAATTTTGGTCACTTCCAGTTCATCATAAAAATATAAAAAGTCAGGGAAACTATATATATAGACCAAGCAGCTCTTTGCCTATCACCCTAAAGATTGGCTGCCACCAACCACACCATACCAAATCCTAATTTCTTGTATATTTAATTTAGAAGGTAGAAACCCAGGAACTAATTAATAAAAGAAAACCGCATACTTCTCCTATTGCAATGGTGATGACGTGTGGTGTAAAACCCATCCCAGCTGAGCCAGACAGCCATTCACCTAGCAAAACAGTCATTCACATAGCAAGAACAAAATATACCAGAATTAAACACTGATAAACAGAGGTAAATAGCTCAAGGTAGCCTTTAAAAAGGCTTAGAAATCCAGCTAGCAAGCATGTGTGCTTGAACTGCAAGCAGTGATATGAGATTACATGTTCATACACCAATGAGAACGAAATTTCAGCTTATAGAAATGGATAAGTTGTTAGTTATGAAAACTTCCACATTTGAACATTTATGTCATTCTCTACTATAAATATGGCTCAGCATACAATTTGATAACAGTAGCCAAACACAAATGTAATGTTATTCATATCATTGCTACACTCTAGCTCTGCTCCTCTTTTCTTTTTGCATTCATGCCACCCTTTCTCAGGACAAGCTCTAAGCTTTGATACTCTCATTTTGTCTTGCACTAAATTTATTCTTTTAAATATTGCTTTTGAAATTTTATTGCTTCCAAAATTTCAGACTGAAAATGGAGAAAATTCCATGGTTTATAGTCAGGCATATAAGCTATTCTTTTTAACTGAAATGGAATGTATTATTCATTTCTAATGAAAGCAACTTCTGACCCTACTCCACTTTAAATAAGCACAAATAAGCTAGAAATTTAAATCAACTAGTAAAAACTAGATAGCAGATTAGTTGGCAATATTACAGAGTCATGGTAACATTGACATAAGCCTGATTAAAACATGTGGACACAAAAAATTCTTTTACCCTAAGCAACTAGAAAAATGCAAAAAAGCTAATTTCTAAAAAGTTAAAAAAGCCACTCAAGTTACATTCCACATAATCAAGCTCCATACATTAAAAAAGAGATAGGCAAAATATCTTACCAAGGGAAGCTAATTGTTGCTTCCTTCCAGTACCCGGTGGACGCCCTCTTCCCCTTTTTTGGCTTGGTGTTATTGTCCCAGGATGAGTAGCCGATGCAGGAGTCAGTGCTAATGAAACCGTTCCATCAGATCCATACTTTCGAGGCCTTCCTCTTTTCCGTTTCACTGTCTCACTAGGTGGCAGTGCTGAAGGTGTGCTTACATTGACACTATGAAGGGTAATTCCTGATGAAGAATCTATAGGTAAGGTTGATCCCATAGTAGTGGCACTAATACTTGAATGGTATTGTACATTTGGACTAGATAATTGATGAATGCCTGGTGATCCATGTATCCCAGACTGTGTTCCAGACCCTGACCCAGTTATTCCTCTTTGTTGCATATAGTAAGATGCAGACCCCGACAATGCCATAGCATCCCTTCGATCCATGCATTTACCTCGAATAACCTATACTTGAATGTGCCTTCAAATCAACTTACAAGCCAATTTTAAGTACTCACTAAAAAATAGCTCTATTTATTCTAAAGTTCAATGCAATGCCAAAACACTCCATAAAAATTGCAGAATCAAAATAACAGAAAAGCGCCCATGAAGCTCCAAATCGTGACCACTAAACCATTGAAAAGAATATAGATCTTGGAAATAACAAACCAAAATTCACAGATGCACGGCTCAGCAAATTAAGCCCGAACACAAACCAAAGAAAAACATGTAGCGTTACAAACGAAGCTCTTCGAATCTAGGCATGAAAGAAAGAAAACGAAGCGTCATATATTCACAACAGTGCCAAAGATAGAGAGAGAAACTAGTCAAACACCACGGAAGAAATTACAAGATTATATGTGGAAAAAGCAAAACCAAATCAAAAAAAGCAGCCAACAGAAAAAAAATAGAGAAAGAAGAAAAAAGGAGTTGAAATATCAAAAGCTCAGAAATTGAAGGGAAAAAGACAAAAATGCAAGCTATTTTACAGCTTACCAAACCACAGGAAACAAAGAAAAAGGCTTCATCTTAAAGATATAAAGAAGCAGATGGAAACTGAAAACCAGGTCCACACACTCACCAACCCATTGTATACCTTTAACACCAAGCATCTTCCACAGGAAACCCCCAGACCTTAATACACTTCAAAATCACAACCCAAAGAAAACGATTTATGCATACATAATAAAAAACCAAAAAAAAAAAAAAGAAACAGACAAAAGCTGAAACCAATGCCATAAAAGAAAGTCAAACCAAGTTGAAAGAACAGCTATCAAAAACTAAGCAGAAATCGGTAAAAATCTTTGCTCCTTTTCTGAAAAAAAAAAAAAAACCCAGAAAGAGAAAGTAACTTACATTAGTGAACTGGGGCTAAAGGTCCAGCCTTTTGATAGTAAGAAGCCTTGAAGACGATGGTTTTTTTTTTTTTTTTGTTTTCAAAAAATAAAAAGGTGAAGTAGTCTCAGTGAGGACGTTAAGGGAATTAAAGGCAGAGTGAGAAATGCAGAAAAGAGGTCAATTTTGTGTGGAGGTGAGAAGAAAGCGTTTCTTTTCCTACTGGCAACGAAAAAGCTCCTTTGCATACACCAGTCCCTATCGGATGCATAGCTGTTTATCTTTCTTTTCTTGATCTTTGGTTTCTGTCTCTCTCTCCCTCATCTTCTTCTCAAGGACGTGACGAACAAGTGAGTGATTGTGCTTTGCTTTTTGCTTTACTCAGGGCAGAACGGATTGGCTTAAGTTTACTTAACGAGGGAAACACAGGGAAAGACAGGCAAACAGAAAATAAAGCATTTATTCTTGGATAATCCTAACTGATATTTATTTCTTTGTTTGAAGTTGGAATTTTTTTTAATATTAAACTAAACACTGTCTCCAGAAAAGCCTGTCTGTCCCACCTCCCACGCGCGGTTGTAACACGTGAGCTACTATTCAGTCTGCAACTTTTCCTCTTTCCTTTAAACTTTGTTTTTTTTACTTTATGCTAGTAGTTCATTTTTTATTTAAATTTTAAATCAGTCCATTTTTTACAAGCGAGAGAAATTCATTTTGTTAATATGATATAGAAATATTTGGCACTATCCTAAAAGATTATATAATCACCATTTATTTAATTTTTTATCTTCTTTTATTTTTTTTAAATTTAAATATGTAATGAAATATAAAATTTATTTTTTTAGCTCATTAACATCAAATGATTTAAGATCTATTGAGGTAAGCGATAAAATTAAATATAATAATAAAAATTATTATAATTATAATTTAAAAATTTATTATAATTATAATTTAAAAAGATATAAAAAATTTTATACTAAATAAATATGAGTAAAATTAATTTTTAAATTCAACTGATAATATAATAAACTCAATTACACTACATTAAAAATACGATGAAATCCAAGCATCTCCTTAATAAATAATTTATTCAAAATTATTATTACATGTATACTTATTAATATTAATTATTGCAATTTATGAAATTAAATTCATCCATAATATTAGTCTTTGACAATTACGAAATATTGTAATTTAGAAATAAAAAATTATAAATATTGAAGTTTAAGACTTAAATTTTAAATTTTAAAATGATTGAATATCATTTATAAAGATAATTATATATATTAAATGCATAAATTTTTGTTTAAATTAAAATTAAAATTTAGATTAAAAGAATTAAAATGTTTGTAATTATGAAAAAAAATACAGATAAGGGAAGGAGCGCGTGGATGGTAGGCATGAGGTAATAGGAAGAGGGGCAAGGCTGGCTTGCTTTGCATGTGACCTTTCTCTGCGCGCCACTAAACATCGCTATGTTTGTAGACCATCAGCCTAAAAATATCTATCTCAAAATCACCGATAACATCATCCCCCCCCTGCCATCTTAAATCAAATCAAATACTGTGTGCTACTTGTTACTTAAATAACACATAAATTACAGATTAGTCAAATTCAACCATTTTTTTATACAAATTTAACACATAAATTGCAACTACATATTTCAATAACATACCTTATAAAATTAAAAATTTATATATATAATACATCAAATATTAATTTTTATAAAAATAATTATATTATAAAATAAGGGTAGAGTTGTTAGTTAGAGGCAAGTTTCATAAAAACTAAATGCTGTCATTCTATTTGCATCATCAAAATTAGTATTTTATCGAGCAAAATACTATGATATTATAGTACTAAAAATACGTACCAATTCTCCGTTTAAAAAAAAAGGTTAATTAATTTTCTTTTATAAGACTTAAACTTATTCCTCCCTTATGTACATGGACAAGACGGGACCCACAATATTAGACAGGAAAATGGCTTTATTATAAAAAATTTAGAATCTTTTGACATATTTATTGCCCGGAGAGAAACGCATCCCATTAAAAAAAAAAAAATTTTCTTTCCATCTTCACTTGGGTTATCCACTTTGCGAAAGATTTCAATGAAAAACGTTACAAATGTGCATGAATTATAATTTAATAATTATTTAAATTTTTAATATTTTATTATAATTAACCAAATTTTTTATTTTTATTTTTATTCAATTAAATATTTGAATGAATAGAATCAAGTCAAATGATAAAATTTAAATAATCAACCTCTAAATTATAATAAATTAAACCTTTAAAGGAATCCTAAAGAAAATATTTTATTTTATTTTATTTATATTACATGAAGTTTTTATTTTAATTGTTAAAAAGATTAATGGTATTTACTTTTTATTCAATTTAGAGTTTAATTGAATGTAATAAAAAATTTTGATTAATTTTTCAATTATAGTTTAGAGATTTTTAATCTTTTAATCTCTTAATTTAAAGTTATGAAATTTAAATTTTAATTATTAAAATTAAAAATTTAGCAATTTTAATAAATTTTGTAATTATTGAAAAAATTAACTTAGTATTATACAGCTTTAAAAAAAATGCAGTAAAATGTTTTATACAATAATAAAATAAAACAAAAGAAAGCCACATTGTCAAATTTTAGTTTTATTATTGTATTTATCGTTTCAATGATATCAATGGTACTTTTTTACTGTTTTCCACCTCATGGTCAAGGTTGACTTTCAGGGTCGTCACAAATCAATATAGATATCAGGGAAAAAGGATTTGATATCATTAATTATTTTGTATGATTAGTTTAATGCAACTCCTTTTTAAGTATTATAAAATTAAAAGTAATGCATTGTGTTTTTTTTTTTAATGGAGAGATAGATAAGATATTTAATTTTTTAGATTATGATAAGATATATCATATTTAATAATTTAAAATATAATTTTAAATCGTATATTTAAAATGATCTCAATAAATAATCATTGATATATTTCGAATTCAAAATTTTTATTACAAAAAATAAATTTTAATCGTTTGAACCAATTATTTATCAATAAAATATTGTATTGTGTCAAACTTAGGATCAAGAGCCTCAACAAAAATCACCACAGACCAAATATTTTTTATCGAGTATTGTATAAACTTTTTAAAATATATTATTTTTATTTTTATTTTGAATTTACTGTTAAGTTCAAAGTCTTATTTTGTTTTAATTGTGGCATTTGAAAAATAAAGAAAAAATTGAATTTGATGTTTAATGGAATTTAATTCATATAATTATTTTTTAAAAAATAAGAGTTAGTAAGTTTGAATTTAAACTTAATATTTCTTAATTTTTATTATTTGATTTTTTTTTTTATGAATTATGAGTTTGTGATCTCAAATCTAATGCTAAGAGATCATCATGATACGGGTTAGAGGGTCGTTGCCACTAAATTCAGTGTTCTAGACAAAATAGACATATTATCTATTTTAAAGACGAAAGATAGCTATCAACTAAAAAAGTACACAACTTGATAATTGAGTTATGAAATCATGTTGAGTTTATAAAATATCATGACAAAAGGCTTCAAATCAAGAGGTTTGAAATTCTGAGAGGCCCACCCTTTTGAATATTTCAACTTTAATGATAATTATGAAGGACTTTGGAATGCCTATGATTGATTCAAACATAGAGGTTCATTTTAAAAGACTCTTTTAATAAAAATAAAAATAAAATAAAATTCAAAATTAATTAAATTAATTTATATAATTATTCATTTAAAAATATATAGAATAAATTTCAATTTTAGATATTAATATTTATAATTTTTTATAGTAAATTTACCAATTTGCTTCGTGGACAAGCAAATACTAATGGTATTTCTTGGAAGAAATGGCATGGTGATGTTGACAAAACATCAATCCATCCTCAGACAAAATAAGACCTGTTGGTGGCTTTTGTCTATTCTCTGTAGACCATAGTTGACTCAATTGCAAATCTGCCCAGAGTTCCGCCATAACACTATTGCAGCAACAGACTTGTGATAAAGCCCGAGACCCAGTTACCACTTTCTTGAATCACACGAATAAGAGGACCTCCGATCCTGCAGCTTCTAGATTACCAATGGAGGATCCATCAGTATTGATTTTGAAACAACCGTTGGAGGACCGTTCCACGTAAGAAGGACAATTAGGCCACCATTTTTTTGTTTCAAGCTGCAAAACTTGGGATGTTAGTCGGCAGGTCCAGACACTATAGTACCAATGTCAAATCTAGTGGCAATTACTACACTTTCTTTTTTCTGGCCAAATTTACTCTCAAGTACTAAAATTTCACCTAACCTGAAAATAATTGTCAGAGAGGAACCATGCGAATTTCCCAAGATTAATTGGGTCAACGGTGGAATTGACATGAAAGCTTGCAAGATTGTTTGCTTCCTTCATTCAGTTCAATGGTTAAGTCAAAAATTCTAATCTACAGCTTTGAACAGTTTTTTTTTTTTCCGTGCTATCACCATTCAAATTTTCATCTCACCCTCGCACCTTCCGTTTCCTCTTTCTTGTTCCTAAGCCAGGGGTGACAGAGTATGGATATGAAAGTAGAAAGGACACTGTTTTTCATTGAATAATCTTCTGGCATGAGCTCAACTTGGGACCTCACAAATTTCAAGGCCCAGTACGGTAGTACAGACTCACCGGGCAGCAGAGAAAGATGATACAGACCAGTAGCCAGTAGGCACGCATTAATAATTTGACTGCATCTACAATAAGTGGCCCCTTCATTATTGCAGATGATGAAGAGGCCTCCTCAATCACATGGGAACTCCACTTCTACAATTTCGGATGCACCTCAATGTAAAGTTATAAACATGACTAACCCAAATTATTCATTGCTAAGCAGATCAATTTGTGTAGTAAACTGGGAGGAGAGTCAAAATTGACTCAAACCTTCAACTGACCAGTAGCCACTTCGAGTAACTACTACCAAACTACCATTTAGTAATATCACAAAAATGCAACAGGTGGGTGCTAAACTTGTTAATCCAATGTCGTCATCAATTATCTTTGTAACTTAACAGTTTCCATCTTTCCAAATTATTCATCAAATGTCTAGCTTTTTCCATAAATTCTGTCTACCATTAGTCATAGTATAGGTAATAGCTATCATTCTGTCTACCAAAAGCATTACAGTTGTTGACTTACTGTTGAAAGAAGAAACGTAAGCTGCTATACCAAATTGAACTTCTTCAGGCCATAGCTAGCATAAACGTTCACAAGAAAGTATGCCGACCTCTTAACACACTGTTTGCACACTTGCACTTAACAGCCATCAACAAAAACCTCCCTGCAAAGGAAACCACAAGGTAGCTTGGTCCATTCTATCTAAACACTTCCCCGCAATCACCTGTATAGCTTAGCAGCTTAAACATAGGCTTGAGCATAGGCAAAATATAATTATAGAACCACCAATATATCAAACGAGGAACAAAACATCACCAAGGAATACAGCCATACCGCCTTTTGTTTGACATGGCATTACAATAACCTGGATTCACATGTTTTTTAAGGCTCTAAAATTAGCACCTCTGACTTGACCATGCAGAACAACTGCAGAGAATTGATAGATACATTCAATATCAATAAATGAGACCTGTTTGGGTCTTCAAGTGGAAAGGCACTAAAAAATATAGCGTTTTCTGTGACACTGAAACTGTCAGCATTCCCCCATTCAAACCCAACAAGAGTTTAGTGGCTAATACAACAGCTCCTGACTTGGTTGAGTTGAAGCAAATTGTCTCAAATCCACACTCCACAACATCAGAAACAACTGTCCAAGGAGTTTCTTCTAGTATCCAGCATAAAAAATTTCCAGATATAACAAAGAGTTAGACTCTCTACATCTTCTTGCCTTCCCGTCATTTATCGATACAATATAAGCATAGCAAAAGATCCCATCAGACAACAAAGGCTGGGTAGGAATCATACTGCCTCTTAATCCATGTATTCCAAACTAATACACATCTTTATCTTAGAAAGAAAATTAGTCGCTGAAATAAATTCATTAACCAATATCATGCTGTCACACTATCCAAAAATTTCTCAAAAAAATAAAAATTTAACAGAAAAAAAAATATTCCCACTAAAATTACAAATCCATGAAGCTCAAAATTTTACAAAATGAATGACCCTCATTTGTCAAGCTCCATTGCTTGACCTGCTTTAGCTTTAGCCACTTCTGTTAACTTGGTTTTCAATTTTCTCTTTCCTACTTGAAACCCACTTCCACCCTTCTTCTTTTTCTTCTCACTACCATCAACCTAATTAAATTTCAGAAATGCCCATAATATAACTCGTTAAATCAACAAAAAAAATTAACCAATGAAAGAATAAAAAGGCTTACCTTCATCTTATTCTTCTTCACTTGAAGCCTCTTAGCCTTCTTTTCTTTCTCTTCCTTCTCCCCTGATTTGCCAAAATAAATACAAAAAAAATCATATATCACTGAAAAAAAATAAAAAATAAAAAGCAGAAAGGGGGAGAAAAATGAATAATTTGGTACTTTGGAGATCGAATTCGTGCTGCTTTTTTCTACGAGCTAAATTATTCTTCTTCGACATTTTCTCCCGTCGGCACCGCCTCTGACTTGACTATTCTTCCTCTTATTTTCCCTAACCCCAACCTTTATTCAATTTTTGTCAGATGAATGAACCCGCAAGAATCTGTAACTAGCATTGGGCCGATATCCAACTGACCTGCTTCTGGAATTTGGGCCATCTCTTGTTAGATATCGGGCCCGCTAATGTTCTTAATTATGTACTAAATTTTGTTTTATTGTTTTTTTAGTCACTATTTTTTTGGCCAAAATTTTCAATTATTAGATTGAAATTCCTTGTATTTTGATGTCTTGATTTTTTTTCATTTTTTTATTTAAAAATTAAATTCCCATTAATAAATGAGTAATACTTCGATGGCTTTATTGATTTAATAAATTCCATGTTTTGGATAATTTTTGTATGAAAAAAATGAGTAAGCTTCTTTATTTTTGTTTATTACAAAATGAAAGTAATATAATTTTTGGATATTTTTCAATATATTGTGTTTGATTGATTGCTTGGAATAAGCTAACTTGGCTCAAAAACAGCTTACTCTTTTACTCCATGTTTATGAGATATGACTTAGAACACCAAGAACACCAACTTTGATAACAAGTACTTTTTTTGTTCTCCTATATAAATAAATAAAGAAAATTTCTAAATCTAACATAAGAATAATATATAGTGAATTTTCCATTACACAATTCAAATATTATTCCATTTTTTTCGTTACATATATAAAATAAAATAAACACTTGTTGATGCAACAAATGAACACTGTTGGTATAAAAAATTTTTAATTGCCTCATAATATTTTGGAAAAATGGTGGAAAAACCATCAACATCACTGATTTGTATTGCTTAAAATGAAAAGAAAATAAATGAAAAGGAAATAAAGTCCCCATTTTTTTCTTTTAAGTTTTTAATCTACTAATAAATATTGTTTACGCTATTACTTATATGATTGAAAAAGATATTACATATATAAGTTTCTTTGAGTTTATAATCTTTAAGTATTAATTTTAATAACATATAAAATAATAATAAAAAAATCAGTATAATCTCTATTGGCTTAAATAACTTGTTATTGGTCCATTCTCTATTGGACGATCAAGATTATGACTAATGAGTCTCGCTAATTGAACACCTCTATTCAACAACAAAGTTAAAACATAAAAGGATGAAAAAAGAATCGAAAAAATAAAAAAATTAATTCAAAATAATAGTATTCAATTTAATTCGAATCAAATTCAGATATTAAATATATATTATTAAGTTCAAATCAAATTTAAATTAATAAGTAAAAAAATTAAATTGAATATAATTATATTTTTTTGTTTTTATACATATTTTAAAATTTTATAAAATAAAAATAAAAAATTTATATTAATATTTATTTAAATATATTTAAATTTTATATTAAAATAATATATTAAAATTTAAAAATCAATAAACAAAATCAAATGGATAAATTTTAATTTGGTTTAAATTGAATAAAAATTTAATTTCATGTTAAAATTTTATAATATTATATAATATTTAAAAAAATTAAATTAAATTCAATCGGATTTAAAAAATTATCATTTCTAAAACTATACAGAAGAAACGGCGCCGCATTGGCAACTTTCTGTCAAATAAAGCTAAACTGAAATGATTACGGCGGGAGCCATGGAATGATGAAACATGAAAGGTAATTCCTTTCTTTTTCCATTTTTTTTCTTTTCTCTCTCTCCAAAGATCAATAAGAGCTGCTCCATTATCTGAACATAGACCGCTTCCAGTCCCATCCACATCAAATGCAAAATCACCAACGGTGCAATTTTACAATTTTTTATTTCTTTTTTTAAAAATTAAAAATTAGAAACCTAAAAGGAGGTTTTAATTTAAAACAAAAAGTTATATATTTTTCCCATCCAATAATGACTCCAACAAACTTGTTATTAAAAAATTCGCTTAAAATAATAACCAGATTCTAGGGCTTTGAATAAAAATTCGTGACATGTCGGTAAATTATTAGCATTCGCTTTAAACAAAGAATCTGTAAAAAGATTTAATTAATTTCCTGTTCATGAATCTGATATCCATCTCATCTCTATTTTTACCAATCAACATTCTCAGATTTTCGGATGTTGTTCATGTCGTCGTCAATCACGATTTTGATTCTTTAGCTTCTCAATAATCACGTTTTTTTTTTTTGTATTTATTGGATCGAGGATATACAGGAAACAGGAATCTGAATTCGTTCGATTTGATTATGCTTTGAGAGGGGGGACGAGAATGTGGTGGATCTTGTAAAAGTGAAGTTTGATTTGATCCGGACACGGATAAAAATCAGAACAAGCGTCACTGAAACTGAGTTGACTTGGAAAAGAAAAGAACCGCTTTTTAAGGTATTTAATTTAATTTAATTTAATTTTTTTCTCTCTTTACTTGACTGTTAGTTTTTATTACTCCCATTTTTGGAAAGTTATTTTTCAGTTATTCCCCTTATTTAATTATGAATCTTCTTCCAGATTTAAAATGCCCTGTAAATTTATCCAATATTTATTTCTTCTTTATATATAGTAATTATATTTATTTTTCCAGTAAAATTGAAGTAGAAAATACAGTTGCAATTAAGCATTGAATTAATATATTTTTTGTTTTTGAAGTTGCTGAGATGGGTTGTCAGTGCTCTAAGCTAACGCCATGTTGCTGGGATTCACAGTTCAAAGCAGCAGTGTTAGAAGCCCCTGATTTTGGTGGGTATTATTGTAGATTTCATTGGCAGTTGTTTTGATTGCCGAGAATAAGAATGGTTGGTTAAATAGATGAACTTGTTGCAGAGACTGAGGAAAAGAGTGAGGTTGATCACTTGCCTGCGTTTAGGGAATTCACGTTGGAGCAACTCAAGAATGCAACATCTGGATTTGCGGTGGAGAATATCGTTTCTGAGCACGGGGAGAAAGCTCCCAATGTTGTCTATAGAGGGAAGTTGGAGAATCAGAGGAGAATTGCTGTTAAACGTTTCAACAGAATGGCTTGGCCTGATTCGCGGCAATTTTTGGTAAATACTAAATACAGTTTGCACTTAGCAGAGCTTTGCTTTCATTTCTTTTTTTTTTTTTTTTGTAATCAAGTGAATTGGTTTTGGTCTGCTTATGATTGTAACTTGGAGCTGCTTTCTTCTGCATTTGTAGGAGGAAGCAAGATTAGTTGGTCAGCTACGCAACAATAGATTGGCCAATTTGCTTGGCTGTTGTTGTGAAGGCGATGACAGGTTGCTTGTGGCAGAGTACATGCCCAATGAGACACTCGCAAAACACCTTTTTCATTGTAAAGCTTATCATCCTTGTCTTTGTACTTTTATATCTTATTATCAGATATCTGATAAAGTTAAGTCCTGAAATTGGCTCTTAGTATTGCTTATCTATTTAACCAGTAATAACCGATTTGCAGCCTGGAAGTTTGTATATATCGCTGGCGTCTATGTTCTAATATCTGATTAATTTTTGCATTTTTAGGGTAATCTGGCTTTACCCGGATGGACTAATGAAAAAGTGCCTGGAATAATTCTTTTACTTTCTTGAATTAGGGGAAACACAACCAATGAAATGGGCCATGCGATTAAGGGTTGTACTCCATCTTGCACAAGCTTTAGAATACTGCACAAACAAAGGCCGTGCGCTATATCATGATCTCAATGCCTATAGAGTTTTATTTGATGAGGTAATTATTTTATTATCTGGTTGTCTGAAAATTTTGGTTGGTAAATTTTGTATGATTCCTTTATTTATGTTTTAGAATCTTGCAGGATGGAAATCCGAGACTTTCAACCTTTGGCCTGATGAAAAACAGTAGAGATGGAAAAAGTTATAGCACAAATTTGGCATTTACTCCTCCTGAATATTTGAGAACTGGTATTTACATTATTGATATTTTTACTCAATGCATTCTATTTTGTTGTTACTGAATAACAGCTCAATGAAATTCTAACTGTCTCCCTATTCAGTATGATAAATTGGATTTTACTCTATGATATCATTGCATCATGATTTTAAGTATTGATTGAGATGCTAAACCTACTTGTGCATTTTTCTGCCACGAACTCTAGTACTTGATACATTATAACCAAGGTTTAATTTCACATGCATTATCTTTGTTAATAGGAAGAGTAACACCAGAAAGTGTAATATACAGCTTCGGCACTCTTCTACTCGATCTTCTCAGTGGAAAACATATCCCTCCTAGCCATGTAAGTTGCTTATTTATGAAGATAATGATTGGTATTGTTTCTTTTCTCATCTGGACTTGCTGGAATGTCTATCCTTGATGTAGTTGCCATGACATTGACATTTTATTACTTTTTGCACTTTGATTTCTAATGACTAAGCGATTTATGCCAGGCACTTGACTTAATACGAGACAGAAATCTTCAAATGTTGACTGATTCCTGCTTGGAAGGGCAGTTTTCTGATAATGATGGTACTCAGCTAGTTCGCTTGGCTTCTAGATGTTTGCAATATGAACCCAGAGAGCGGCCAAATCCTAAATCATTAGTTGCTGCTTTGACACCCCTTCAGAAAGAAGTTGAGGTAAGTTATTTTTTTTCCTGTCAACTGGCAACATATTGCATTTGCACATGACTCAGATGGTGAGCAGTAGCATTGGAGTTTAATAAGGAAATCTTCTTTTCATCAAGTTTCATGCGTTACTAATAAAAAGGGGGGAAAAAGACTGCAGTTCTCTGAGTTACTCTATCCTTTCCTATGTAGGTTCCTTCGCATGTCTTGATGGGTATCCCAAACATTGCTTCCTTCACTCCACTATCCTCAATTGGGGAGGCTTGCTCAAGAGGGGACTTGACTGCTATACATGAGTTCTTAGAGAATCTTGGCTACAAGGATGACGAAGGAGTGGTAAATGAGGTTTGTGTTCCCTTAGTTTTCCTTTTACTCTTTGTCACTCACTTTTAATTGAAATAGAAGTTCGAGTTTTACTAACATTGTACGTAATAATCAAATTTTCCGTTCTTTGTTTTGCTTCTTTCTAAATTTCCAATAATTGCAAATGCTTGACAATATGTTGTGCTTGTTTGGACTGACATGTTTCTGAAACATTTGTTGTTGTGTTTTCCTGCAGCTCTCCTTCCAAATGTGGACTGACCAAATGCAGGAAACCTTGAATTCAAAGAAAAAGGGTGATGCTGCTTTCAAGCAGAAAGATTTTAAAGAAGCAATTGAGTGTTACACTCAGGTTAAGTTCTTAAATATGATATTTCCAGTCAATTTATAGAACAATGCTATCCTTTTGAAGATACTTTCACTTGTGCAGACTCCACAAACTTTATTTATGGATGGCATGCATTTAAAGTGCTATATATTCTTTTTATGGTTTACATTAATTCAATATATGACATATATTTCTCTTTTTTTTTAAGAAATTATATATATTTCTTAAATTTAGTTTTTCTCCTTTAAGTTTAGGTCGGTAGGTTTTCTTGGTATTTCTGATGGGTGCGGTACCTAGAAACCTTCTGACAGTTTCTTTATAAATTAACAGTTCATTGATGTTGGTACCATGGTTTCTCCAACTGTTTTTGCACGGCGTAGCTTGTGTTATCTCATTAATGACATGCCTCAAGAAGCTCTAAATGATGCAATGCAAGCCCAAATGATTTCCCCAGTATGGCACATTGCTTCCTATCTTCAGGCCACTGCACTTGCTGCTCTTGGAAGGGAGAATGAATCTCAAACAGCACTTAAGGAGGGTGCAACTCTTGAAGCCAAGAGAAGCTCAGTGGCTGGGAAAAAGTAAACGGTGATGCGCGGACTGTGAATCTCCTAGTTGCAGTGCTTTGTAGATGACTGCCTGGCATTGATTTTGGGAGTCCTTGAAGACCGCGCAACCACATGTCATTCATTCCATAATTCAGCCATACGAGAGCATATATTTTCCCTGGAGAATGCCTTCAGAGAATCATGGTATTTGGACAGGATGTAGTCATTGGTTTCAAATTTCTTTCCCATTTTTATTACTATTTTTTTCTTATAATTATGTGAGGGTTCTTTCATTCTTTGTTCGGTTTGATCAATTGTGCATGTTATGTAACAAATTCTTCCCAGTCACATTGATTAGGAACGGAGAAACATTTTCTTCCCCTTGTGTTACCTTGTTCAGACGAGAGAAAATGAGGCAAAAGTTGTTTCTACTCAGTTCACAAGCTTGTAATTTCTGTATGGATCATTACTGGCTGCTTAGACTTAGCAAATAAAGCATAATCATCTATTAGTTCTATTCCTCACTTGACGTCAATAAGAGATATGGATTAGAAAGAGAAGAATATCAAGCATTATGAGAAATCAAACTCACAGATCCCTTGAAACCCCAATAAGTAGGTTTTACTACAATCATTATACAAATGATAATCCCTTGATGTTAATATTAAGGTAGAGCTCCAAAAGCATTCACTGTTAATGCATAATTTAGCCAACAATACATGTCAGAAAGACTTCACTCTCCTAAACTTGCTTGTGCACTTCGAAATGATTCCTTTGTTACTCCATAATAGGCTGGTTTGCTCCCAGTAAAGGTGATGAAGTTCCAGCCGAAAGCCGAACCCCCAACAATATATGTCCCAGGAGCTTTACCATCTTCAGATTGTTGTTTCTCTTGTGGCTGTCCTTCTGGCTTCTGCTTCATTCCAGTTTCACCTGGCAGTGACTCGCTTACTGTTTCAGCTGTCATCTGCTTGTATAATTCTACCAAAAGCTTCATCTCTGCAAATCACAAATTTGAAACACATAAACGCAAATTATGAATCCAACATAAATAACTTATGCACCATGTGACTATCAAAGAGAGTTCATTTTATTGAAGTGGTTCCATGACAAAATGTTGACCATTACCAACTAGCCAACCGCAAACAAAAGGTTCAAAAAGTTAACCTAAAAACAAAATTTTAGGTGCAATATCATGGTTTGAAACCAGTGATACGAAGCCACATTAAGAGAAAGGCTCCTTATAAAAAATGTGATTCAAGCAATAGGAATATTAAAACCAAATAATAATTGATGTCAAACTGACTTTGGGAATAACTTTTTAATGTGGAAGTTGGTTAGCTCTCAAGATGCTGTGTTTCTCAAGTATTTCGCAAATCAGATCCTAAGTTTTTACATGTATAACAGGTAGATGAACCAAGCTAGAGAGGTTTCAGAGTAGTCAGCTGACTCAAATTGAAGTTATGCAAACCCTTTTACTAACATAAATTTTGTGATTTAACAGGAAAGACTCAACAGTTAATCAAAGCTAATAGATGGATAACAAACTAATGAGAAGCTCATCTATTTCTTTTCCTTCAGCCTAAGCCCATAGATAGCAGTAACTGATCGATTGAGGGATACACTATGCCAACAGATGCAAAACTTAACAAAGCATATTATGTGCTTACTTTCTTTAATTTCGTTGGCAGCTGTGCAATTTCGAAAATCAGGCGTTCGAAGCACCTTCAAGGAACATAAAAATCATTATCATGCAAATAAAATATCCCATGAATATAGAGAATATGATAATGAAAACAATTCATACATGCATCCATATTGATGAGGCTATTTCAATTTTCAAGCACAAATAATTCTAGAGTGAGAGTAGCCAATGAGCAAAATAAAATGAAATCAATCACACTGTAAGGACATATCTAGAGGATATCCCCTTTACATTGTCCAGGGTAATCAAACCTGGAACCAATGATCATGATTTAAACTTGAACAACTATCCTTAGTTAAAAAATAATTAAATAAATAAATAAAAATGATAAAAAAATTTTCAGATAACCAAGCATGATAAGATCACTTGAAGAAACACTGACAATATAAGATCATCTATGAACCCAAAATTAAAATATGAACAATTATAACCCCAATTATACTGCCATATTTTAGTTAAAACATTAAGGGGAGGGTAGCCCAGAAAATTGAAACTTGATCATCAAAAGGGTATCCTTTTTTTATATCAACATACAGCGAAAGGAAAAATAAAAACCAGAAATGAAATGACAAAAAAGGACACTAATTTCGAAATGTACCTCGATGAAATGAGGACGAAGATCTTTTAGGACAAGGCGCATCTTGAAATACTTGGAGTTTTGGAAATGGTCATTTCTGTTTTCTAGAGGTCTTTTCTTGCTAGCTGGCTGTTCTGGTGGTGTGGGTGGCTGAGGAGGTTCTTGTTGCGGAGGAAGAGGGGTTGTTTGGGCAGCGGTTGGTGGGTTTGGATCTTGGGTCGGTGGTGGTTTCTGGGCTGCGGTTGGTTCTTCCATTTCTCTTTTAAAAATAGCAGAAAATCATTCAAGATTGCGTTTTCATTGAATGTCCAAGCCTTGAAGTGAGACGCGAAACCTACTTTCGGAAACGAAAAAGAAAGGGCGTGTTTGGTTGTGGGAGTATCTTTGTGCACTTTCTGTTTGACTATTAAACTAATCCGCTCTTGGGCTAACTTAACCGAATGAAATGAAACGGAAAATCGAATAGGATGGAGGGCAGTTTCAGAAATTCACCAAAAAAAAAAAATAATAATAATAAAAACCCCTGTCATCAGGCCTCGGAAACTCTTCCAAAGCCTTCCAACATCTGATCTGGTCCATAGAATTTGGTTCTGAAATAACCAAACCGAAGAGCATAGTTGAATAGTAGTTGACGATAAGGAAAAGATGAACCCTCAAGCAGACAAGTTGGTGAGGAGGACCACCATGGTGGCTACTGTTACTGCTTCCTATTTCCTCTTAACCGCTGATTATGGCCCAGAGCCTAATGCTCTCGACCCCGTAATTCTCTCCTACTCTTTTTCAATTGTTTTGGTTTCAAATCCAAACTTTATATTTTCATTTTTATCTGCAGCCTTATAGAGGATAAGGGCATCATATAAAGGTCTCTTTTAATATTCTTTTTGTGGGTTTTTCATCGATTGATGGTTTGATGCACAGGTTCTACATTCAAATTTGGTGTTGAGAATTATAATAAATGATGATGAATTGTAAACTATAAATTTCAACCATTTTCAAAAGAAATGAAATAATTAAAACTGAAAGATTGTGGTTTGGACTGGCTAGTTGAAGAGTTTAACCAGTTATAGGCAGGATAGGATGCCAACAACTATTAAGAGTAATGTCAGAATAGAGAAAAAGAACTTTGATGCTGGAACTGAAAGCTTGTTATGTGATTTTTGGAAGTTGAAATACTTTCTTATGATTTATGTTACAAATGCAATGCATTCTTTATTTCTGAGAAATTAGATGTCTGATAATATTCATTGTTGTAGACGGCAAACTAACCTTTATTTGTTTAGTGTTTTGGCTGCATAAAACAAGTTTTTTAGTTTGTAAAATGTTGGCTACTAGTATCCTGTCCAATGTAAATGGGTGGTCTAATGTTTTATCTCTTGTTCATAAGCTCTGCACTAAGCTTCCTAAGTTTCAATATGCTTGTAAATTTCCAAGTTTTTTTGTGTTGATTTGAACTCTTCCTTTCTCTGTTCTATAGAGCCCACACCTCTTTATATTTCCTTTACTTGCATATATAATCCAAATTTCTCAACTTAGTTAGGCGTAAATTTTGCTCTGCATTGTGTGCAGCATGCCAGTTGTAGATGAGTTGGCTTTAATTTGTTAAGTTTGAATGCTAGAGTATATGGGAAGAGTGATGCTAAAAGAAAGTAAGCAGGATATTAAAGAAACAAGGATCAGGAATCAGGAGGTATCCCGCATCCTGAAATAAACAAAATCTGAACCCTGGAGTTTAGCTCAGTCGGTTTATGCAATCTTCTTTAAAAGTTGGCATCAAGCAAGCTTGGGGTTCAAATCTCAGCACTTGCAAAAAAAAAAACAAAAAACAAAATCTTCAACAACTAGATTGAAATAAGAAACCAGGAGGCTTGATCTTTACATTCTTAGTTAATACACGGTGATTGCCAGTGAATTTGTTGGAGGAATAACGAATAAGGGGATTTGGCTAATGTTGTCATGTATCCTGCTGCTGTATAATCAGAATTCATTAAGTTTGTTTTAGAATTTGTTTTCATCCCCACCGTGTTCAAAATTCCAACCTTTTTGGTATTCTGTTGACATGATATTCAATAACAGATCAAGAAGACCATACTATCAGCGCAAAGTTCTCTGAAAGAGTTTATCTTTGGATCAAGGAAAGAACATCAGGAAAGTTCACCGAGTTCCAGCAATGCAAAAGAGCACCCGTAGTCTATACTCCACAGGATACAAAATTAAGCAGTTATGAGTTTTTGTCTATTGAATAAGGTTTTTATGGTCATTGACATTGTCAGAATGCGTGGAAAATGTAATATGAGACCAAACTTCCTTGGTCCCTTTGAGTTTTCAACAAGGAATTTTGGATTGTGTGGTAGCGTGTACATAAAGCTTTTGAAGAAGAGTTTCAATGTCAGTCCCTGATTATTGACTACTAGTAATATTTATAATAAAATTCTCAAAACAAATATTGTTTTGGTATATAAAAGTTTATGTAAGGGGGAGATTTCTCTATTTTAGGGTTAGGACAGATTCCAGATTTTAAAATAAATTTATATTAGATTTATAGTTCGATTATTAAATGGATTATTGGAGTCAGAATTCGAATTTAAACTTTATAAATTAGGTATTTGAATCTTATCAATATCTTATGTAAAATGCTTGTATTCTTAAAGTTCATTTAGCAAATGAAAAGCAAATCAAGTAATTTTCTTAAAATGACAAAACTAATTAATTATATCGGTCCCCAAATTCTTTAAGATGAGTGAACTGAATTTCCTAGAGGAATATCCACAGAGGCCGTGAAATAAATTCTCGAAGTGCCCTGCAACTGTTACTCTCCGAATAGTCTCGTTTTATCCGAATAAAATCCTTAAACGTGTATCAACCTCCTTCACAAACATGAAACAACACCCACTTCTGTCTAAACTTTACCCACTGCCCTTCGCACTTCCTCTTCCACTCTTCTCCTTGAGAATACGAACACAGTAACATGTCCTTCTGCTGCTGCTGCTGCTTCCTTCTCCCTCCAAACCCTGACTCATGGCTCAATCTTCGAATCATTCAAAGCTCTCCCTCTCTTCCAACTTCACCCCCAATCCCCTCCTCAAGTTACACCCCAACTCCTTCTTTCCTACCAAACTCAAACGACCGCCATCTTTCAAGATCCTTTCCTCTCTTTCCCCACCACCACCGCCTCCAAACTCAAAGGCCACCACGAATAAAACAATGAATCTTGTCTCCCTTCTCCATGCTATCCCAGACTGGGCTGATCGTATTCAGGAGCGTGGAATGCGACAGAATCGTGCTCTTTATAACCATGAAAATTGGGTTTATCATAGAAGTTCACTGCGTCACCTTCGACATTTACTTTCCAGTTTACAATCACGTGTCATCTTATCATTGGTGCCACCTGTTTTAGCCTTTACTTCGGTAGCTGTGGTCATTGCCAGTTACAACACTGCCGTGGATTTGCATTGGTTACCTGGGTTTTTCCCTGTTTTGAGAGCTTCGTCGTTGCCTTATCAGTTGACAGCGCCTGCATTGGCTTTGCTGTTGGTTTTTAGAACTGAGGCCTCGTATTCAAGGTTTGAAGAGGGAAGGAAGGCTTGGACTAAGGTAATTGCTGGTACAAATGATTTTGCAAGACAGGTAATTGCTGGGGTTGAGAATTCAAGTGATGAGTCGATCAAAAGTGCTCTCTTGCACTATATTATGGCTTTTCCTGTTGCACTTAAGGTGGGTTTTCTTCCTTTTTCTTTAGTCTTTGAAGCTTCATTTTTATGTTTTTCTTACTTGTTTAATTATGGAAGAATTAGAAAACAAAATATAAAATTGAACAAGTTCATAATTGACTTGAAAGAAGTAAAGAATTTGATTTTTACTATAGTTAGTGATCAATTGTTAATGGCATGTTTGCAGTGTCATGTTATGTATGGCTCGGATATTGGCAGAGATCTTCAAAATTTGCTTGAAGTAGATGATTTGGTGGTGGTACTGAATTCCAAGCATCGGCCCCGCTGCATAATTGAGTTCATTTCTCAAACCCTTAAAGTGCTGAACTTAGAAGAATCAGAGAGAGCTTTGTTGGTAATTTGATATATTCCTTCTTGGACCATTTGGACCATTTGAGCTTCGGTAATTTGATACGGAGAATGAACTCTAAACTGCTCTACTCGCTGATATGAACTCAATTATCATAAAAGATGGATGCTCTCTGAAATTATCTTTTCTTTATCTTTGTTTGTTTTAGTAATCTTATAATCTCATTTCATTCCAGGAGTCAAAGATCTCATGTTTCCATGAAGGAATTGGTGTATGTGAACAACTCATGGGTATTCCTATCCCTGTATCATACACTCGCTTGACCTCCAGGTTTTTGGTCCTTTGGCATCTTACTCTTCCTATCATACTCTGGGATGATTGCCATTGGATAGTTGTTCCTGCTACCTTCATAAGTGCTGCTTCCTTGTTCTGCATAGAAGAAGTATGTATCTTTTTCAGTGTTATCTCTGTACATAGAAGCATGTTTTACTCTGTCTTGAAGTTTCTTTCATGTTGCAGGTTGGTGTTCTTATCGAGGAGCCATTTCCAATGCTAGCCCTTGATGAGCTTTGCAGCGTGGCGCAGAACAACATTAATGAAGCAATTGCAACAGAAAAGGTTATACAAGCAAGGTTAAATGGAAAAAGGAGGAGGCGTTCCTACAAGCATTCACCTAATGGTTGTCCCAACACACAGTGAACAGGAAATTTTTGCGCTGCAGATTGGCATTGTCTTTGCCTTTTGCCTATCTAGAATATAAATGTACAGAGTATGGTTGAATCATGCATAAGGAAATAATATTCTTAGGATATGTATGTATATTGTACACAATTTTCTGATCTATAGAAAATGAAAATTGGCTTCTTATTGCTTTTGGGAACCATTCCAGACAAAAATTCCGCACCTTTTAGAAAAGGCCAGAGTTTTCTTTCACTTGTAACTCATACAATGAAGCACTGGCCAAGCATTTAAACCCCTTTCGTCCTATCAGCAGATGAAATACGGAGATTGATTTCAATTATTGTTGTAAGTTGATTTCATTCACTTTTCTTCTCACTTTTTGGTTCGGAAGAATGCTTCTTCAATATTCCCCATAATATATCAACAAATGGGGAGGATAAAATGCTGTGACGTGGAATAGAAGAGTTAACACCAACATTGCCGATTATATTTCTTTATGAAGCCCATTATTGAAGGAAATCCCATGGCTTTGATGAACCAACAAAGCCAAGTGCCAATAAGAAGTTGTTGCATTGTTGTAATCACCTATGTTGAAGATATTCCTCAAGCACAATGCCTTGATTTGAGACTTTGGATTGTAAGTTCTTCACTTCAAGTCTTTTAACCAAACTATTCAATGCCACAAGTGACTCTCCACCATTTGATTCATCCCAAAATGGCAACACTTCCAGAACTATCTTTTGCAACACATTTTGCTCAACAGCTTCTCTAACAAGTTCTTCAAGATCACCAAAGCTGCCACTCATATCCAACAAAACACTACATTACCCCTGGCTCTTACAGTATTCCAGAATTTAATTCAAATTTATTCAATCCAAATTCACTGCCTCAATTCCTTTTTGAGCCAAATCTGCTTCTGTGGCTATCTCTTTGTCTGAAAATATTATCACCTTAGAGCTTCTTTAGTGAGAACAGGAAGTTGACCAGGATTACTTGCTATTACAATCTTAAGAGGCTGATTGGCACCAGGCTCCTGTGATGTAGGACTTGAAAACTTCTCAGTTAAAGATCCTGAAAGTATTATTGCATCATATTCCAGCAATAATTTTGAGTAGTATCCACCAGCCTCTGTTACTCCATCACCAAGCTGGTCTAAAAGGCGGCCATTGACAGAGAGGGAGTATCTGGATATCATGCAAAGGCCTTTGGTTACAATACTCAGTACTAAATCAAGGTAGAACTCCAAAATTGGCAGTTCAACTCTAAGGAATACGTGGAGCAACATGTGTGTGATTGTGTGCATACACACATACTAAACAAAACACTTAGGCAGCAAAATGGAATATCCAGTTTGATTCATGTTTATAATCTAAGGTGAAGGAAATTTACCTTAGTGTCACAAAAGGCTTCCCAGTCAACATTTGATGGATATAGGCTTCATTGAGCCTCTTGCATAACTCTTCTTCAACACCCACAGTAACATTGATTCCTGCATCTCTCAGTCTATCCACCCCCTTTGAAGCTACAATTGGGTTAGGATATATCATACCAACCACCACCCTTTTCACTTTGGCTTTCATCATTGCTTCCGTACATGGTGGAGTTCTTCCATAGTGATTACATGGTTCCAAGCTCACATAAGCAGTCGCATTCTCGGCTAAATCCCCAGCATCTCTCAAAGAAAAAACCTGCAAATCCAATTTTGTGAACTCAGTCTAATATACACTCCTAAAAGCAAGAAAGAATGGTCAAATTCTAAACAGAAAGCATAAAATGAAGTTACCAACTGGACATAGATCAAAGAAACTTAGAGCTAATAATCCTCAATCAGTATTAAACAAGTTCTTCCTTGCATTATTTAAAAAAATGATAAAAGAAGTGTAGACTCTTTCACTCCGGAGACCAAACTTAACACAGTGATTTTGATCTAAATTCATTTCTCTTACCATTCCAGTTTGGCAGTTCCTTCGTTACTCTCAGAAGTCATACAATTTATTACAAGTGCATATAAATGGATAGAGAGAGAATAGGGGTTACCTCAGCATGAGGCTGGCCAGCTTTAGGATTAAACCCTTCACCAACAATCTTGCCATCTTTCACAATAACGCACCCCACCATAGGATTAGGACTTGTGCACCCAATTGCCCTTCTTGCCAGCTCCACACACCTCCTTATATAAAATCCATCATCAACACTCTCATCTTCCACCACTCCACAACTGAACCTAGCCAAACCACCATATTTTCTCAAACTAGTTTGAAATTTGGATACCCTTTTGAATGAATTAAAAGACCGAGATGGGAAATGTTGATTTCCCACAAGTTCGGCAAGCTGGTGTCTTGATGAAAAGGAAGTAAAAATGTGGGGAGAAGGTGTGAGGTTGGGTACAGTTAGAGTGCAGTGTGGAAAGGAAAGTAATTGAATTTGCATAATTTTTCCCACTAATTCAATCGATAAAAGTTTCACTTTTTTTTTTATCTAGCTAACTCCAAGATAAAAACACCAAAAGTTCAATCTTCAATCTCGTTTTACTCTTCCTCTCTTCCGGAATTCATTTGTATTCCCAATCCACAAAACCCAATTCAGAAAAACAACCATCTGCACTAATTATTTTTACCCAAAAAAAAAAGGAAGTTAAAGAGAAAAGATAACTGTTAAATATGCTTGACCATACGTGGGTTTATAAACGAACAGACAAAGAGAGTGAAGTGAAACTGAAACTAGAGCGGCAAAAGGAACAGAGATTGGCTTGAAGATTTTGTCTAAGCGAGGATGAGGGCATAAGCTTGGAGCCTTGGATTGTCTGGAAATTTAATACAAAAAAAAAGAAAAAGAAAAAGAAGCCTTAATCTTTATAAGGCAAACCTTAATCGTTGATTAACTAGAATATAAAGATGAATAATATGTCTGAGGCCGGGTTCGAACCGGGGACCTCTAGTGTGTGAGACTAGCGTGATAACCAACTACACCACCCAGACAACATTTGAAGTTGACTGCACGATCCTATTTTTTCTTATTTAATAGATGAAACTAAATTAATTTTGGACCCTTCGAAGAATGAAGCAACTATTTTTATGTTATTAGATTTTATACTTTTAATTTGATTTAGCATATATATATATATATATATTAGATGGTGAAGATGAATCTATAGAGATATGATAAATTCGTAAAATCTTACTTTCCTATTCATATGTTCCAAATTCACTATTTATTAGAGATATGATAAATTAAAATGCTAACATAACATAATTTTTATTGATTATTTTGTGAATATACAATGATTTTAATTTTTCTTTTTATTTAGAGATCATTTTCATATTATACCTGACGTAAATAAATCTATTTAAATTGATTTAGAAAAATAACAATGCTGAACAAAGTCCAAAAATCTATTGTCAAATAAAAAAAAAATCATTTTCAGAAATATAGTACTTGGTTCACTCGCAAATCATGCCCGCTTGGTCACGAGCAATGCTTTTTGACTTTAGTTAACATTGTTTTTGGTGTGAAGAAAATTAATACAGATTCTAATTAATGAAAGAACACAGTTGAAAAGAGAAACATACATTGAGTTTGTAGTAAAAAGCGTACATGGCAAATGGATAATATACTCTGCTTATGATGAGATATATAAATATAGTTTCATAAGACAACACAGAGACAGCAGGCTTTCATTGCTTTCTCACTTTGAATACTCTCTTGGATTACCTCTAGCTTTAATATTATCTCTTCAAATGTTGGTCGACAATCTGGATTCTTGTGCCAGCATTCTCTGAGAAGACTGCATTAGGACAACGAAAACCATTAGATGTAGATTCATCATGCAAAACAACATGACAAAATCTATAGAATATTCATTATGAAAAAAAAAAAAATTAAATTTAAGATTCACAACAATTGAAATAAAAATTACTTCTTTGGAAATATACCTTTAAATTTCTCTTGGATTGGATAGAGTATTATGATTTTATGGGATCAAAGTGCCCCAGTAAATTTTCCAAAGAAAAACACTCAAATGTTTAGTATTTCTATTTGTCTCTTGCTGTATCAGTGGAGCTCTTACTCTTTTTCTCTCTTTGGTGCATTTAGATCTTTCTCACTAAGCCGCCTCCATTTATGGGCAGCAACACCACTCCAAATGCATCACTAGCTGTGTCATCATTTTTTTTTTTCTTCCCGCGGCTCTTTGTGAGAATTTGGATGGCCATTGGCTATCACTTTCTTTGTTTTGAAATGGCTAATGGCCATAAGTCAAATATTGGGACAGGACCCCATACAGGTTTGCTGAAAAGCAAACAATCTGACAGAAGTGGATAGGGGGAAGGTATTGTCAAGGATAAACCTCCAAACATAATTCTACAATTCCTGCAATTTCTTATGGCACCAAACCGTCACATGCCAGTTTACAAGTGCTAGTTTCTAACCATGTTAACCAAGGAAGGGATGCCTTGTGTTATATCTTAACTACCCCAAGTTGTGGGTTGCTCCACATTCTTTTTTCCACACGGTTGAGTTCTATGGAAATGCTTGATGAAATTTTTTCTTAGATTCTCAATTACACTTGATCATATGAAGTAACATTTAATTTTGACCGTTATCAACAACCTGAAGTGGCAAATCAGGAAAGTTAAACAAGAGAACTCACGTTTTGATTGGTTCAGGGTATATGTATGAAGAGAGAGGTGGCCTTGAATCCTCGTATGCCCTTTTGTCTGCAACTTGTTCAGCTCTTTCCCCCCTTTGTGATGGCCCTCCTTGGAACATCTGTAAGGAAATTTAAAGCAACAAGATGATATTTAAACAGACATGCTTGATCTGCCATGAAAACTATCATTAAGAAATTATAAAAGATAATGCATTTTGGTAGAACTTTTTTCATGAAGATCAGCCTAGGATCCCATATTGTACCAAAAATATACGAAAAATTAAATTTATAAACAATCATATTTCCAACTCAAGTTACCTCGTGCACTATTAAAGCAAACGAGAAGACATCAATGCTCTTCCCATAGGATTCTCGACGGTAAACCTCAGGTGCCATATAACGATCTGGAAAATCTCAAAAGAGCATCTGAGTCAACATTCATAATTTGTTACTGATATTTAATTTTCAGAAGGAAGGGATTTTTACATGAACCAGTTCCCCCAGTCATTTTGTATCCATATGAATCCTTTTCCTGTGCAATTTTGCTCAAACCAAAATCAGTAACCTTAAGGCGGCCCGCTTCATCTTGTAAAACATTCCTGCGGGTCCAACAGAATGAAGGCATCAGAATTTGGCCCATTACAACTGCTGCTTAGCTGGGCAAGCATGTCCTCCAAGTTGGTTCACAGAATTTATGAGTGACAAAGATTTAACTTGGGCATCAGCAAGAAGAACTAGTTTCTAATACCTTGGTGTCAAATCTCGGTGTATTATAGCATTTGGTTTATGCTGATGGAGATAATTCATGCCTCTGCAAGGTTTGAAAGATATCAGCTCATTGCTGGATTCAATAACAATGCCCCAACTCTATAAGATAACATAATCCAAAACCAGTGTAGTTTATCAATAATTTCCTAGTATTACCATTCACAGTCCAAACTCTTGTCCTTTCCTGAAAATTCATGTCAACTCTTGCCCAACTGAAGTTTTTCTACAAATGGTACTCTTATAAACAGAAAAGTGGCAGTAAAATGTACCTTGCAATATCTAGAGCATAGGTAATGGCTGTTTGTGGATCAAGTCTTCCTTTCTTTTTCAATATATCATACAAACTACCCTGGCTCAACACAATTTATATGAAAATAAGAACAAGAAAATCTTACAAAAGTTGATCATAATAGAATGGAGCAAGACTCACATTCCGAAGGTACTCAGTGAGGAAGATCAATCGATCACTGCTCTTTAGAACACCAAGGAACTGCACTATATTAGGGTGGCGCAACCTTTGCCACAAAGCCAGTTCCTTCATAAAGGTATTTCTGTTAAATAGTCGAAGTAAAGAGGCAAAGTCACTATTAATGTCAACCTAGAATTACCACATAATTCAAGCTTTACTGATCTGCAACCTTTCTCACAAAGCCAATTCCTTTCAAACTTGTAAAAACGAACAGATAAAGTCTGACTAAAAAAAAGTACTGTAAGGAGTGCTTAGAATAGAGAGAGAATGAATGTTATAAATCATAGCACATGAAACTTACTTTGCTTTAGGATTTGATGCAATGGAGGAACGAATTGTCTTGGCTGCAACTTCAGTGCCACGCCACTTTACCAAATAGACTTCACCATATGCTCCCTGGTATACTAAATAACTTAAGTATGGGTGAAAAACCCTAAACCCTAAGGCAATGGCTAAAACAGGAAAAAAGCAAGGTGGGGAAATCATATAAGGTGCTCTCACTTTTAAATATGCGCTCCAAAAATTAAAAAGGATGCATGGAACTTACCTCTCCAATAAGGGTTGCTTCATGCATGTTCACCTCCTTGTGATCAATTTCATAGCCTGAAGTTTGAGAATCATCTCCAACCTATCTCAAGGAAAATGATAATTGAAATTCCAAATGGGATGCAACATGACAAGCAACTGCCTCCCCCCCCACAAAAAAAAAAAAAACACACACACAGAGATCATTTTGCATTGGCATATGATGTTTGAACACTAACAGAAGTCTCAAATTATAGTAAGGACACTTGGTGTCATACAAGAAGTGAGATGTATATGAATAAATGTATTTTATGATTGCCTGCTGTCACCTTGAGAACTAGATATACCAGTAACGAGTGAGATAATGTTGGAACTGAGCTTTATAAGATTCCCAAGAACAAAATGGAATGATGGTCTTGCTTTCATGCAAAATTCGTCCAAAAAAGAAAAGGAAGACATTTTCATAGATGCAGAAATTGGCATTATGAGAAATTGAGAACTAAAATGTAATCTTAAACAGAAATAATAAGATACCGGATCAGTTCCCCCTCGAGCTTTAAGTATCTTGCAAATTTCATGATGACCAAAGCTACGCGCATCAGACAATGGCTACAAAAAATACCCACATCAAATCCATTTTCTGACAATCTAACCCAAAAGAAAAAAAAGAATATTCATGCAAGAAAAAGAACATGAATTAAACTTACAGTTCGACCCCAACGATCTAAAGAGTCCACGTCAGCTCCTTTCTCAAGAAGCAAAACAACAACTTCAGTCCAACCTTCACAAGCTGCTAAATGAAGAGCCGTTCTCTTATCATAGTCGGCCACATTAGGCTCCACTCCTTTCTCTAATTCTTGTATGACACCGGCTTTATCGCCTTTACTTGAACATTGAAGCAGTCTATAAGGACCCCCTGAATCCACTTTCTGAGGCACCATCCTCTGTTCCAAAACAGAATCCTTCTAATTTGATAAATAAAAAGAGTTCAGCTTGGGTTATAATCTTTTTAAAGAAATTAAATTTACCATTGAACAAGGATCAGATGGCCTGATATCTTCCATTGCGATTGCAAAACCAATAACGCGGAGTTGAAACTTGAAAGGATCGAAAGAGTAAAAAATAATAAAGCTTTAATGAAAAAGGCTTAAAATAGAAGCAGTGACAGTGAATATAGTGGGAAAGTACAAAGTTTTCCTCATCGTATTCTTCGGAGTCATCAAATTTAATTTTCTTTTTTGTCTTTTTTTTTTCTCGGATTTTGACTGAGAAAGATTACTGCCTCGTTTGCTTCGCCTGGAAGTTGAGCTTCACATGGAGCGGTTTCAACGCTGGGTTTGGAAGAAGAAATTAGGTGAATTTTTCTGTTTGGTTACTGAGAAAAAACCAAAAAAGAGTGACTTCGATTTTCCTTTTTTCTCCTGTCTTGATTTTGGTTTTTGGCAATTTTCCATCCGTTTACTGGCCAGCCAAACAGCAAATGAAACGTTCTCTCAACTGTTTTTTATTCTGGCGGGCGATTCGAATGACGAGATGAATCTTTAAAACGACGCCGTTAACTTGTTACAAATTATTCGTCTAATGGACCAGGTTTAGACGACGTCGTCTTACACCCAAGTGGGCTCATTTCGGAGTGATTCTCAAAATCAAAACCCGTAAAGGGCAAAACCCGAAGAAAATCTCACACAGACAAGATTGACGCTCGACTTTTTCAAATCCCCAACGTCCCCAAATAAGAAAAAAGCCCTCCTCAAGCTAACTCTAATCTTCTCATTTAATCCATGGCCCTAAACAACATACTCAAAACCCTAGAGACCCGAATTGGCAATCGACCAGCTGAATCGGAACCCGGATCCGAAGAGGACTTGGAGGAGCTGGAATCGGATGTGAAGAAAATGGCGGAGAAGATTCTAGAATGCAGAGCCACTATTCCAGACCAGCTTAAGATCACTCTCGATTCAATTCTCTCTCCTCAGAGACCCAATTTGCCCGGCATCCATGGGTCAGAGCCTGGACCATCCGCAGAACATAATGCAAGTAGGCCCTTAAACTTTCTAGGGTTTGTGAAATTGGGTTTGATTAATTTTTCTTGATAATTGACCACGATTTGGTTTTTATAGATTCAGTAGAGATGGGATTAGATGAAGGGCGAAGGACGGTAGAGAAGATACGGATAATTAAAGAACAAATTTCAAATAACATTTCAGCGATGCCAGCTGTTGTGAAGAGGATGAAAGAGTGTATTTCCAGGATTGAGAAGCTAGACTCTTGCAATGGCATCATATGTCCTGCTTTTAAAAAGAGAAAATTGGTTGACCCAATGAAGGTTGATTTTCATAATTGACAAAATGTGGAAATGGTGGTTCCAATTGCATCTAGATTTTGGAAGAAGAGGCCTACGGGATTTGGGAGTTTTTTGCCCCTTGTAGGTGTGATCGCTTGAAGATATTGATTTCAATGTGTGCGCGCCAAAATGCCTCAGTTGATAATATCACAAAGTGTGCATCACTGCTGTAATGAGATGCAAATTCTTTTGTGCTTGTAGTAGTTTTGCTTCTCAATTGTATCAAAATTTTGTTTGTCTTCTTAAAATGTAGAGCTGTTTGGAATGTAAATTATTTTTAAGATTGGCTTTTGCTTAAGGTTTCTATCCTTTGGTACTCACTCGTTTTTGAAGTGATACACTGTTTTTTTAAACAAACAATTAATGCTAATCTTGCTGGAAATTATTCAAGTTGATATCCTGCAAGATTGTAACTATGATGCCATGATTGTTCTGCAAATACATGACAGTTTGCAGCTATTGAAGGCAATCATCAATTTGGAATGAATCTTTCTGAATTTCAAAGCTGCTATTAAAACAATCACTACTAGCATAGCAGTTGTTACAATGTTACGCCCCTTCCCTATCACATAAATGCTCTTTCCAACGGCAACAAGCTTGCAGGGTGGTCTTGTAAGTAGGGGTGAAAGCCTCCCTATGGTCATCCTTCGGCCACATCATTAACCTTGTTCCAGAACTCTCATCCAACACATAAAGAATCCCATCTACAACAACTGCAGGACCCTGCCAGCCTGACACCATGTCAGCATCTGCATGCTGCCAAGTCCCACTAGATGGTTCATAAACTACCGCAAAAACATGAGAAGTTATAGCAGATCTGCCACAGCGAATATGGATCTTCCCATCCAACACAAAGGAATCTTCAATTTCAGGAATAATGTTTGGATCTGAGTAAGAATTCCAATTGTTTGTGCAAGGATCATAAGTGTCCCAAGATTGTGGAACACTTGGGTTTAAACCCAAACCACCAATTGCATTGATTTTCTGATCAAGAACTTCACAAGCGAAGTAGCACCTGAGCACACAAATACCCCAAGATCACTTTAAAATTATCAAAAAGAGACATAAGGCAAAGCATTATTTAGCAGGCAAGCAAAAATGAAGAAACTACAACGCCTTGATATCATCTAGCAATTCCATACAATAAATGGAGGGTAAACTATTTGTTAATTCATTCATTTGTCCAGTGAAGATAAGAGAAAGGGAGTTGAAGTGTTTAATCTACCAATGCAACCTTTAGGAATAACTTGCTGGAGAAGAACAGAAGAAAGTTTATTACCTTGCAGTTGTTAAAAGTTTAGCTTCAGTCCAAGTGTTGTACGAAGCATCATAACAGTAGGCCTCGTCACTAGCATCTTCAGACCATCGGCAGCCACCCATCAAGTAAAGTTTATTCCCCAACACTTCAAAACCTATTCCTTTTCTCTGCAAGCTGCGAGATGGAAACTCCTGCATCCGCTTCCAAGACCTTCTTGAAGAATTGGGATCCAATACATAACAAGAAGCCCGATCAAACCTGTCTCTACACAAAGCATAGATCCAAGTTTCATCTAAATTATGCTTTATACGATAAGCATGCCACTCTTTGCTGTGCACCAAGTCCCTCCATCTCCTCGAAACACAGTTCAGGACAGTATGATAATCTCGAGGGACTCTAGCCAAGGCAACCTAAGTTTCCTTTGGGCCTACATGTCAGCCCAAATAGAGGTTTTTAGTGAATGCACTAATATAAGCTTTTCCCAATATCCAATCATCAATTTCTAATTTGATTCTCTTGCTGGTAACGGAAATTTTCATTTTCTTTCATTTTTGCCCTTGAACTTGAAGTGAGCTTTTTATTGATTGCGTTTCCTTTTCCTTGAGGAAAAAAAATTGAATCTGAAACTTAATCAAATTAATTTATGTAACTACAAACAAATCTGAGACTCAAATTCAACTCTTGCAATATTTTTTAGTATCTCAAGCTGCAATTTTCTTCATATCTATATAATGTAATTACTACTAGTAAAATTTGCTTTTATGTCTACAAAAATCCCTGGGCTCCACTAATATGATAAAGATCAAATGTGAATTCTAGAATTTCCAACAGAAGTAAAATGTTATTCAAGTTCAACCATGAAAAACAGCGAGACGGAAGAGAGATAATGGCAATAGTCACGAAAGGGTTGTAATTGTGAAACTTTGTACCAAATCCATGCCCTCACACTATATTGCCTTTGGATTCTTTGTTTAATAAATAAGATTAATATTAATGAGGATTGAATCTATGCTAGGAACCTCAGAACCTTAACGCAAAAAGATACACCAGGATTCTTCCCGCATGGGTCTTTATGCATAAAATAATATACAGAAGCTCAAAGCTTTGATACAGCTGGGGGGTTAGGGGACCTAACCATCCTAAGCAGTGCTTCTTGAGTTAATGATACAACAAGCTGCAGATCAACAAAAGAATGGTTAGGAAAGGAGGAAAAGAAATGCTCACTAATGCCCGGAGATGAAGTAAACTATATACCTCTCCCTTTCTGTTGAACATTTGGCCGGAAACAAAGCCACGGGTGATGCAGGCTGTAGGGCTTACAATCTGCATGACATTGGTTTCATTGGCAATTTTCTTTCGTTATAAAGGTGAAAAACAAAATGTAAACATACATGAGAACAAACATCATACGACACCTACCACAAATAATAACCAGTCATCAGCCCTAACTTGCCGGTGGAACCACATTCTGTGAAAGAAGAATAAAACAGTAATGTGATATAATGGACAGTAAAGTCTTTTACGTGTACGGGGAAACATAAAGATATGTTGAAACTCTTTTTATTCTTTTGATATGTGCCTGACATAGGTATGCTCAATTTTTTAAAAGTTTTTCCTTAAATTTGGAGGGTCAGAAAGCCATATTGAATGTGTCAAACATAAGTATTTTAAAAAATAATGAAAGGTCGCAGCAACATACCATGCATGCAGGGTGTATTTTGGTTGGGCGGGGGGAGGAGTTTGCCCAATATGAAAATTTTCTAACTATGAAAGTAAGCAAGAGAAAACGAATTTTAATAGATTTGGAGGATATATGACCCACACCCCAAATGAATACAGTTGGTATGATCCAGATCAGTAGATGCTTACGAGTGGTCCAGGCTAAGGGAAGCTGACTTAAAACCCTTTCTGCGGTGTGGATTTAAACTGACAGAGCTGAATATCAGATCTGAAGCAAAAGCCACTACACATCTGCAAAAACAATCACATAATAGCACATAAAATCTATAAAAGATAAGAAAGCCTGACTACACCATGATCTATGTATGATTGTATATGCTTCCTGAAGTTACTAGTCCCATACCGTTGCCATGTGCTAACAATTCTGGTAATATGGGAAACCAGAGTGGATGTGTGTGCACATAAGCACCCACTGTTGCTAGACAGAACAAACTGAATCAAGTAACAGTATATGCAGAAAAAGATTGATAATTTAGACAAGTGATGAGTAGAGAAAAAGTAGTCATGAAAATATATAGACAAAATAAAGTACTAGCATTTAAGGGATCACTAACCTATGCAAAGCATGATCATCAGAAAGTTTTCCTTTGGCTCTAAACCAATACCTCAAACTGCAAACCAAATCATCATTCTAAAATAAGATAGCACCTAACTGAAAATTGATAAAATGGAATCTAAATAGGTAAATGAATATTAAAATATAATATTGATATTTTCCAAGTGAATTGGAAAAGCTAAGATTATGCAACACCACAAAAAATGGCTAACCTTGGGTCAGATTTAGTCTGGTTTGTGTTAGTGTTAGGTGCACAAAACCTTATCTCTATGGGCCAAGGAACAAATTTTGTTGTGGCAACCTTTTTCCGGTAACTCCTGAAACAACAGATTATGAGTCCCAACACAACATAACATAGCAAAACTAAAAATAAGCACACTAACTAAAGACACATATAGGACACCTGATAGGTTTTTGCTTTTTTTTTTTCCTTGGGGAGGGGTTCAAATAACTGAAACAAATTTTTGTTGAACGACTTATATGAGTTCCTGAAGATATAGATATAAAATATAAAGGATGCTGCCAGAGAATGAAAAAAAAAAAAAAAGAAAGAAAGAATTGTCCCTTTATAACAAAACAAATAAGTAACCTAGTAAACAGAGACAAAAATGAGATAAGATGTATTAAAGTCATATTACACCATTGAAAACCATGAAAAATTACATATATAAATAAATTATGGGAGTATTAAAATTGTTACATAGGAAGACAGGGATCAGTGAGACGTAATTCTCGTAGCTCATCCAATGACAGAAGCTGCAATAGGCCAAAGAGTAATACTGTTATTCAATTATCCACCACAGCAAATGACTGGAAATGTGAACTTAAGAATATATAAGTTACCACATCTGGAGCTGGAACAGATGGCATCGTTGCTTCTTGATGATCAAACCCTTCTTCTCCTTTCTGTAAAATCAACTCACACAAAATTAGTAGTAACCTGAGATGCTATGATTATTCTTTCAGTGGCTATCACTTGAGCATATATTATAAAAGATCAGGAAGTTAGGAAAAACAATGAGAGTCTCACATATTATTGCACCAATAAACCAGTATCACAAAGTATAATAAACAGAGAACATGGGTGATGGATAAAATATTGTTGAAAAAATCATCATTAGCAAACACCTAGCTCCACCAAAAATGTATATATCTTCTTTACATATTTTCTATAGATAAAATAATTGGTTTATTAACAAGTTAGAAAGAGTAAATTCAACTCAATTTTCTTATGCTTTGATGTATTATAATAGCCAACAAGCTTTTTTCGAGTTTATCATCCCCAAATCCAAAAATTCTGCCATTATTGGGAGCTTCATAAAATAACAGAGTAAATGATGCTAAGCAGATATTCTTATATTTAATGTTCATTAAAGCCACCATGTATACTATTTTTCTTCCTACCAACGTCAATCTGCAGATAGTATAAAAGAACCTAACTATTCTAAGAAGTGAAAAAGTAGATCATAATAGTTCTTCACAGATATATAGTGTAACAATCACACCCTAGTTGTCAGCATTCAAGCTCAGACTATATACTAAATGAGTCAACAACTGAAGAAATAAGAAAGTAGATGGCAACCTTTGAATATACATATGAATATGTTAATGCATACCTGAAAAGAAGCTAGTAATGTGAATATGATGTTTCCTTTTTGTATTGCATCTACTCTACGGGTAGCAAAGTTTCTACCATCACGTAGACGACTAACTTGATATATTATTGGTACTGCAAAAGCATGGACAAATATCAAGATATCAAAAACTTTTTCACTTGAATAGCTAATTTCAATAACAGTATGAATCAATAATTTAGCATGCAAAGTTCAATAAACAATTGAGTAAAAGTCATGATTAATTCACGCTACTGATTTTTCTTGATAGGAAGGATATTTAAATAATTTACTCATAAACTTACTTACAAATTAAACACAAACACAAGCTAGAATAGCATGCTCAATGCCTTTCACCCAACCATTATTTCTAAGACAAATTGTTACACAACAGGGTAGAACTGATAATTTTTTTGACGCTAAGGTGAACAAAATTGATTCTGCAGCTTTGTGCAACCTTTTTTTGACAAATGAAGTAACGATTTTATAAATTTTCTATCTACTTACACAATTTGGCACCTAATATTCATTTCTCTAAGGTGATAAGTCATGTCATATCCTCTGCACTGTTTACTCACAGCATATAACTTCAATTTAAAAAGTACCAGAGGCTAGGATACCCTTCCAAATGACAGGAAGATAAGAGAGAATGAAGAATGAAACTATTAGCTTGGACATTTTTCAAATTGTTACCAGTTATGAAGTTTGAAATGTGGGATAATGAGTCATTTATAGTAAGTCATGCCAAATTGAGTTACAATGCAAATATATCGTCAGTAGGACATTTCTAAATCCAAAATCATATGATGAATCTATTTATTGACTAATGCTCACGGACAAGGCACTTACTATTAAAATCCCCAACCATAAGAAAATAAGAATGCAAACCATGGACAATTTTAAGAGAATCAACAGTTTTCGATGCTGCAGCCAATGCCTGAATAAATAACAAAAAAGAAAAGGAAACAGTTAGCTCAAGCAAATAGGACAACAATTACTAAGTCCATCAAGTTAATTAAACCACTTAATATTGACATATCAAGACACGAGCCAAGTTTCTTTAAGTTCTTTTTTTTTCTCTCTCTCAAAGATTCTGCGCAGAAAACGTACTACCTTGGTATGAATGAAATACCTTGTCTAAAACATGTTATCATAAAGTTAAACCAGAGGGAACACAGCTAGACAAGCAGAATGAAGGACAGAAAGAAGCTTAAACATGCCTGTCCAACCAACTGTCCTCCAAAGACCTTCCCAAATTTCGGTGCATCTGGCAAAGTAATTCCTTGGAAAACGTTCAACTTCAACAAACACAAACAAAGTCTTAGTATAGAGATTATTGGAAGAATCTAGTTAGGCCAAGTGTTTTCCAACACTATTTAGCATGGTTCACTAAGGAAAGAAAACTGGCATGATTAAAAGTATACCAAGAAAAACATGACCTCTAAAACTTCTCACTATTCCATATGGCAATACTTTTCACTCACTTTAGATGAAGGAAACTATACATGCAACATAATTCTTTTAGCTTATGTTGGTGGTTGATTAAAAGGAAAGGCACGTAACTGCAAAGGTTACATGAAGATTAGGATGCAGGATAGATGAAAAAGGGAGAAATATTTGTTGCCAACAAACAGCTGGGAGCCTGGGATCATGAGTTCATAGGTTGAGCCTCAAAAACTATGCAAGCTGAGAGAGTTCCTTTCCTACAGTTATGATTATTCAGCTATTTCTCTTTCAAAGAAAGCTTATCATTTATTTATTTATTAACATGTTAAATGAGACATTATTTGAAAATACCAAAGCTCTTATCTCATTTACATGCACAGTGCAGTTGAAGGGTGAATACTTTTCAAATTTGACAATATAATCTGAACATATCAAACAGTGCATACAAGTAATCAGGATTTTTAACTCAGTCACATTTGGGTATTTATGACAATTAGTAAAATGAAAAGAAAAAACAAAATTTTATACTAAATATCTACTCAGTAGCATGAAAAAAATCTCAAGTTTATAGATGATGCTCTAAGGTAAGCATAAATGTAACGCTTTGAGCCAAAAAGAAAAGAAAATAAGAACAAAAGAAACATACTTCTATTGGCTCCAAATGCAATATACTTTCCACAAGTGCAGAGGTCTCAAGCGTCTTATCTGCACTCCAGATAGATTTTGACTGAAGTAAACTGCAGTGTTCGTGAGGTAGCACCAGGCAGATCAACTGTAGTTACAGGTATTACAATAAATAGTTATCATTAATTTTCCCACAAAGTGCATTTTCAAATGTTTGAGCACTTGATTTGATGTAATAGCCAAGAAAAGTTATGCAAGGAAGAAGTAAGAAATATGTAGCTACCTTAGTTAATGCGATTATATCTGCCACGTGAACAGATGTGGAAGTAACTGCAAAAGTAAACTCATTTATATTCTATTTGAGGATGAATTTCTCCGTAATTAGTTGATTTGAAATCATCTTTATTCATATAAGATTAATCACAGACAAGCATACACACACAAAATTCTACATACTAAAACAGGCCAACGCTAATAAGTTGCAAAAATATCACATAAGGGAAAGAAAGACAAGCTTCTAACCATGGCCAAAGTAATCATATCGTTTCAACTGATACTCAAGTCGGTTTTCTTCCTCAGCATGGACTGATCCACAGACTTCAGCCTATAAACCATAAAATTGAACTCAGCAAATTTTAAAAGAAAGAGTACTCTGTTTGGTTTTCACTTTGGCTTCTAAAAACAAATATCAGTCATTTTAATACAAAATTTTACCTTTTTATGAAACAATTATGATCAATTGTGTATTACATTTTAGTTATTTCGTCATCGCCAATCAATTTTTTTTTATTTTATTTTGTCTACATCTACATTTGATAATTTTTGAGAAAGCAAAAAATATGTAGCAAAATTAACAAGCAAACGGAGCCTAAAAGGAGCAAAAGAAGTTATAATGTACGCAAAATAGCAAAAACAGACCTCTCCTTCCCATACGAAATATATTCCATCTCCAACTTCACCTTCACGAACGACATAACCTCCTTTCTCTGCAAAGCAAATTATTTCAAGCAAATCCAGTAAATGAATCGATTTTAGTATTTTTCATATTAGTTTAATTTAAACTGATCAAAGATTCTGTTTGGTTGCATGTTAAACCAAACGAAAGAAAAGTAGGCACAAATCAAACGGAAAATATACATTTCATTTAACTGAATTCGGATCAGAATTTGAAAAATTACCATAGTGCTTAAACTTTACGACTTCAGCTATTCTCTTGAACAAAGAACTCGGTAATCTCTGCAGCAACGTAACGTTGCCTAAAAATTCTACCACTGCAAAAATTCAAAGAAAACAAAAAAGGTTTCACACAATTTGGAGAAACTAAGCGCATGATTAAGCGGGAGATTAAATCTTCCCGAGAAAAAATATTTCTTGCCGTTTCTCGTTGACCAATCAGAGGAATACCGGAAATTATCGGATAGAGCCAAAAAAAAAAAAAAAAACCATTCACCTGCTTCGGTGTTCATGGTAAAGCTGAAGTGGAACAACGGTAAGCGAAAATTGTGGACGAGAACAGGGATGAGAGTAGAGAGAGAGTATAACAATATAGAGAAATGGTGGGGATCAAGTGTTTCCGGGGTTAAATGCATCAATTTGAAGCTGGTTAGTTTGACAATGTTCACTACAAAAGTCAAAGCAAATAAATAATAAGAGCCCACGTGACTTTGAGGATTAGTTTGGAGTATGGCGGTAAAATTTATCTCAAAATAATTCGCTTAGCTCAATTTTGTCTCAACATAATAATAATAAAAAAATGATTATTATTATTGGTAGGGTGACTTTTTGCAAATACTTTTAATTTATTTTAAGTTTGTCAATGTTTTTTTTTTTTTTTTGGTATTTTAAATTATCAGAACTTAAACTTTTATTATGGAAATTAAAAATAATGATCTAATTTTTTGAATATTTAATCATAGACAAAGATTCGCCCAAACCCAATCTTATCAAAATCCAAGCTTTTAGGTGACACATTTTAAACCTGAGTTAAAAAGAAACATTTTTAAAAATGTTTAACATTTATTTAAGAAATCACATTCTTTAATGACGAAATCAAATTGCTTGGAAAGAAGGAAGCTCAAAACATAATTTTCATGCGTTAAAGGAGATTCAATAATGGTTTGACCGTGATCATGTTGCAGACAGTCACATTGTATTGGGCAACTGGCACAACAATTATTACAGAATTGGAAAACAAATAGCTATCCACAACTGGCGTCAAGCATCTATCAAATTTAATTAGAAGTGAGGCTTTTGTCGAGGGCAAGACATGCTTCAATGATCACTGTTAGAATCAAATTAAATTCGATTTAATTTTTTAAATAATATATAATATTATAACATTTTAAAATTTGATTCAAATTTAATCATTTTTTTTAAATCGATTCAAATTAAATTTTATAATTCAATTCAATTTATTAATTTTTAAAATTTAATTTTTTGTTATTTATATATTATTTTAATAAAAATTTTAATATATTTATATATAAAATGATTATTTTTATTTTATAAAAAATTTAAAAATATAAAAATTAATAAAAATATATAATTTGATTTAATTCATTTTTAATTTTTTTAAAATTTTTATATTTCATTTGAAATTTGATTTAAATTTAATATATATATTTAATATTCAAATTTGATCCGAATAAAAAAATTCAATTCGAACCAAATACTATGATTTCAATTCGATTTATAATTCTTTTGTTTTTTTTTTTTTCACCCCCGTCTTTTGTTATCGTCTCACATTCAAAACTTTTTTCACTACAATAATCATAACACCCAAGATGAAAAAGAAAAAAAAAAGAAAGACATTCGGAAAGCCAACTGATAACTACTGATAAATAGAAAAGTCAGTAATTGAAATTTAATTCGTTACCATCAACATACTCAATCTAGGGTAACATAGAAGAAGATGCCCTGCCTGTGCTCAGCAATCCTTTGCATTTTAAGGCAATCACATTCAAGAGTAATCTTGAATCATTTCAAGTTCCATTCAAGGATTCATCCCAGCAGATTGCATATGATGCCAAAAAATTCATAATATCTTTAGATCCCAAAATATGCAGATTCCACGGAGAAAAAAAATTATTTTCAAGTCTTTCTCATACTTTTTTAAGTTTTAAGTGAAATGATTGCAGATAAAAATCTATTCCAAGATATCAATACTAAAGGATTTGAAGGCAATACTACAAAATTTTGAGCCCTAAGCAAGTAAAAACTCTCAAAACAAGGCAAAAGAAACTTCAACACGTCTAAACGTTAAAACTGTTTATGAAACACAAACCATGGCGCGACTCACTTCTTCATCTCCCCGCCTCCAGCTGACCTGTAATAGACAAGAAATGCATCAGCACGTAAAATCATAAAATAACGATCATAATTACTCATTTCATCATCTCACTATGTACCTCATCTTGCGGAGAACATTGGACATCTCCTCACGCTTCTTCTTGGCCCTCTTGTGAGTGCCTAGCTTTCTCTTTGCCACCTTCAAAGCACGCTTATCTTTTCCAACCTTGAGAAGTTCAGTAATCCTCTTCTCATAAGGAGCAAAACCAGCAACCTCCCTAATTAGGCTCCTCACAAAGTGGACTCTCTTGCTGGTTTTCTAGAACAAAAAAACATATACATACAGGATATATCAATGATGCAGAGCATATCATCAAGACAACATTAAGGTAGGTTATAAATATAATAAAAATATGCAGATATCTACAGGGTTCAAAAGAAAAAAAAAAAAAGATTATATATACTACTTAACTGCTTAGTAAGAATAACTATGTTTTTCAGACAAATTAGTTAACCATCTAATTAGTTCCCAGAAAAGAAGGAAGAGGCTGGGAACCATGAACTTCAGATTTCAGTTTTGGAACCATTGAAAATGTGTCAAAGCATATCATTTCCAGGAAACCAAAGCCTAAAACGTTCAAAACCCCATAACCCCTAATGGCTTCTTCCTCATTTTCTCGAGAATCAGAAAGTAACAAAGCCAAGACTTTATCCTATTTAAACGCATTTTAAATTTCAACATTAAACAAGCTAAATTGACTACAAATGAATGCGGATAAAGTTGCAGTTTCAGCGTATTTTCTCACCTACGAAACAGCTCCAACTTAAAATCCCCTAGAAAACCTCGAAGCTCCTGCAAAAAAGAGAATAACAGAAAGTAGCTTTGGAAATTAGGGAAAGATTTTAAGTTTCGATTAGGTTTAGAAGGGCAGTCCCACCCAGGCTGCACAAGAAGAAGATGACTAGGGTACCAAGTTCGAAGCATATTTATCTGTTCCAATTCGGGTCGGGGCTCCTTCGAGTCCGTTAATCAACTGTTCAAGAAACGGTCTTTTTGGGTCCATACTGATTGGCCCAGAAAAGTAAAGAATAAAAAGCTTTCGACTTTAATGGCCGCATCTCCGAAAGCCTAATGAGAAACTCCACTTCGTCTACGTAGTTAAGAAACTAGAAAGAAAGCGGTGTGCATGGAAGCAAATGGAATCAAAGAATTCCCGTTGCGTATCGAAAGCTAACTCATTCTCAAAAGACTCAAAACAAGCAAAATGAGTTTGACAGAGCAGGTACAAACAAGCTTTATAACCAATTCAGCCATGGCTTTCTTTCTTTCAACCTTTTTCTTTTTAATCTTTTTGTCTCTTCTTTCATTATTTTCTTTTTCTGTTGCTAAATCATCCAACCACTATCAGAAAAGTAGCTCCAGACATAAAACAACCCCACCACTAAACTTCTCCAATCTTCATATACCCCACCTAATGCCTTCTCTGCTTCTTGAATTCCCACTTTTTAATTCAAATTTTTCTCTTTTATTTTCAAATTTTGCTTTTTTTTTTTTTTTTTGTTTATACAGAAACCCTTTTTTCTTAACACTTGTTGTAGTAGTTGTTATTGGAGCCTTGATATGATTAACTTTTCTTTTGCGAGCCCCCTGAAGTGAAAATATAAGACTTTGCCTTTAGTTTCTTCTTGATCATCAGGAATTCCGTTTTCAACTTCTCTTTGGGAGAGCATATCAATTTGAACTAAAGTAGTATATATAATCTTTTGGCTGACACTTGTTGCCTCCTTGGGATTTCACAGCCTGTTAATCACTTTCTAAACCCTGTTTTTCTTGACCTTAAAAGTTGACCTTTCCAGTTCACACCATTGATTGAAAAAAAAACCCGCTTTTTTATTTGTTTCATATTTTTTCAATCCCTATATTGATTCATGTTATGTTATTAACATCTTTGATTCATAGGGGCGTCTATGTCAATCGCCTGTTGCTGTCCCATCCTTGAATGTGTCTACTGTTTGGTCTGTGCTTGTTGGGTGTGGCTGAAATGTCTATACACTGCAGGCCATGAAAGTGAGCATTGGGGTTTAGCCACAGCGGATGAATTTGAGCCAGTTCCACGCCTTTGTCGTCTAATTCTAGCTGTTTATGAAGATGATCTTCATAACCCTCTTTGGGCACCCCCTGGAGGCTATAGCATTGATCCTGATTGGGTTATCTTAAGAAGAAGTGACCAAGAAACTCAAGGCCGAGCTCCTTCTTACATGATTTATTTGGATCATGATAATGCTGATATTGTCTTGGCTGTTAGGGGACTTAACTTAGCAAAGGAAAGTGATTATGCTGTTTTGCTCGATAACAAAATGGGGCAGGCAAAATTTGATGGTGGCTATGTGCACAATGGGTTATTGAAGGCCGCAGAGTGGGTTTTTGATGCCAAGTGTGAGGTTTTAAGGGAATTACTTCGGAAGAATCCCAGTTACACTTTGACATTTGCTGGGCATTCCCTTGGGGCAGGGTTGGTGGCGTTGTTGGTAATGGTTGCAGTTCAGAATCGTAGCAAATTGGAAATCATGGAGAGGAAGCGGATTAGATGCTCTGCCATTGCTTCCGCTAGGTGTATGTTACTCAATTTGGTGGTTAGATATGCGGATGTAATCAACTCTGTAGTGCTTCAGGTAAATTGTCAGACTATATATTGTAAACTTGTATGTATGGTTGGTTGCAGTAAATTGGTTTATATGGACTTGTCTCTCTTTCAGCTTGTCTAATTTGGTTAGAAGGTTAAGGGTTAGATCAACATACTCTAATGCCTATTGACGATGTCTTGTATGCATATGTTCTAACATGAGCTATTGTAATGAACCAGGATGATTTTTTACCTCAAACAACCACTGCTTTGGAAGATGTTTTCAAATCTCTCTTCTGGTAAAATGTAGTATGTATTAGTCACCTTTCATTACTAATTTCCTTAATAGTTCTGATGTCCCAATATTTTTATGCTAAGTTCTGCAAAATGTGATTCTTGAAAATCAAACTCTCTTCAATCTTAGGAATGATTTGATGTTTGCATAACCGGGCTGGTTTTAATTATGCAGTTCACCATGCCTGTTGTGCCTAATGTGCTCGAAGGGACACTTGCACCATGGAAGAAAAGCTGCTTAAAAATCCAAGGCAACTGTACGTGTGATGGATCTAAGGAAAAATCTTAAATCTCACATCGAACATAATAGGAGGGTCACTGGAGTATATAAGGGTTTATATCACCTCTGTCTTGTGAGGCGTCTTTTGTAGGACAAAACCGTGAGATCAGGAGAGGCCAGAGCGGACAATACTTCACAAGGGTGTGAACCATGGCAAGAAGGTTGATTTGGGACGCCGGATGAGTGGATGCCCGAGTCTAAGAGCCGCGTAGGTTCGGAGCTTAAGTTTCGACCCGTGACAAGTGGTATCAGAGCCAACTCTAAACCGTTCGATCCACGTCAGCATCTCAAGGGAGGTAGGCAGGGTGGCCACCCTCCGTGACGAGAGCGTCACGAGGTTGGGTGGGAGAGAATGTTACGGATCTAAGAAAAAGTCCTAAATCCCACATCGAACATAATAGGAGGGTCACTGAGGTATATAAGGGTTTACACCACCTCTACCTTGTGAGGCGTCTTTTGTAGGACAAAACCGTGAGCTTAGGGACAAAACCGTGAGCTTAAGTCTCGACCCGTGACATACGCACCTGATTGCCTATACCACATTGCCTATACCACATTGTTGAAAGAAAGCCCTGCAGGTATTATGAGATTTTATATTGACAAATTTATGAATCATATAGGCGAATTACTTGGTATATGAATAAACCTTGATCTGCTTGATACGAAACAAATCTCCTTCTTATCCCTTCAATTTCGTCAAATATTATTGGGATTAATTGGAATGTATTGACAGTTCAGTGCTTAATATGAATTTCCCTTGTGCCGATTGTAGGATAGGAAGATTTCCCCCGGTGGTGATGACAGCGGTACCTGTGGATGAGAGGTTTGAGCATATAGTTCTTTCATGCAATGCAACCTCTGACCATGCCATTATTTGGAAAGAAATAGTCCCAAAGAGCTTTTGATGTAAGTTTACAGCTTCCTGATCTTTAGGCTGTGCTTTAGGGTAGTAAATCATTATATATCTAAGATCACAATTAAAGCAATTAAAGAAATGTTTCAGCACAGAAGTGAGAGCTTGAATCTTAAACTAGCTGTTTTCTTTCAGTTGGAGATGACAGATATTAAGAATCTTACTTAGCTTAGAGGGCCTTTTAGGGTGCCGGAAAGAACAAAAATATGGCTACCATCATCAACTTCTGCGTCTATGAACCAGGATCTACCGCTTAGGTGTTTTCTGATGCTATGTATATGGTTCTCTAAACGTATACTTTAGCATTTGAGTATAATTAAGGTAAAGCAACTTACAAGATGCATGGTGAAAAATCATAGAAGTATATTTTTCTGCACTTACTGCATTCTCTTCTGCTAGTACTTGATGAGTTTATTTGTTTCTTTTGCATGTAATTATCTCAATGATTGCTCTAAATGGTAAATCGATAAGAAGAGCAGCACTGTTAAAGCTGGAATACTTTCAATGGTAGAAAGAGGAAAATAGTTTTGTTATTACAACAAAATAATAAGCTTTCATTCTGTTGAATGTAGTTGATGCTGGAGAAAGATGGGATAATGCAGGTTCCCGCAAAACAGAAAATGGAGCGGCTGGAGTCTCTTGCTTTGGATATCCCTCAATGCTTACTCGCCTTCCTCGTATGGAACATTCCATGAAATGGAAGAAGCCGAATTTTCTGGCAGATTAGTGAGGAGGTTTCTGAGTTATCATCTAGGAAAATAAGGGAAAGTTGGGATGAATTTGTAGAGCGCCTGTTCGAGGTAGATGAGTCTGGCCACATGGTGTTCAAGAAGTGAGTTTCATAGAATAACCCTCAACCTCACTCCATTCTCGATCCCCACCCTGCATCAAAAGGAAAAAAGGCCTACAAAAGCAGTTTGCCATGTGCACCATGATTTATTGCTTAATTACAACGATCAGAAATCATTAAAGGAATGATAAGAAAGTTTGTACATAATGGACAATCAATTTTATCCCAGTAGAGCATTCTTTTTTTAGTCATGATCCAATTGCAAATTTAGTTCCCGATTCACATCAATATATAATATAAGAAAGGAAAAGAACAGGAGGAAAGAGAGGTTATCATCATTAATTGATAATCTCTATTTGCCACTATTCCAAGCAAAATGTTAAGGATAGTTTGTGTCTGATAAATGCTAATGTCCTCAAATTCAAATTGTACATTGATCAATTAATCATTGACTGATTTAGCTACCCGACCGAAGTTAAACAGCTAGGCGTGTCAAGAAGCGGTCCCAAATAATTCACCACTGTTATCCATGAAGATTTTATTTGCACAACTGTTTGTTAAATTGAACTAAGAATACCAACATTTGTTGGGGGGCAAATGCAATGATACATAATTTTAAGAGGATCTAGAACCGCTTCCCCTGGCAGCGAGAATGAGACAGGAATCAATCAGTTTACTCAATGCCATCACGTTGTTCAAATTGATCTCATCTTTAATGTGACAAATTCTATGCAATCTCAAGTCTGATCAAGAAAGGATGGTTATTGTAAGCCACAGGGAGAGAAAAGGGTAATAAACTAAAAGCATAATGTCTTATGAAGCCCTCGTAACATTGAAAAATGTCCATTGTGATGCTTGTCATTAAAAAAAAAAAATTCAATCAAGTACTCAAACTTACAATATGTGAATCAATCAATACAAAACTTTAACACCGTTAAAGGAAGATACTGACATGACCATCAACCGATAAAAGTTAGCTTGTATATACATGGATGACTTGTGACTATCACGTACTATTCATATAGATACCATATCATATATATATATATATATATTTAAAAAAATGAAACAAATCAAAAATAAAAGAAAATGAAAATAAAAAATTCAAAATTCAATTTTTGTTTATTTTGGATATTTTAGAATTTTAAATTTTTATTCTAAATAAATTTTGAATTTTTTATTTTTTTAAATTATAACACATGACAGTTATGTAATTGC